CAGGTGCTTCGACATCTGCCTTCACTCAATACCAAGTGTCTGTCCCTCTCTATAACCAATCTACATCTGCTTCCAATCCTTATGCATCCTCCCACGTCGACGTGTTTGCCAAGAAACGATACAAACCAGTAGCGCAAAAAGTGCGCCCTGTACTTGGTACTCTACCAGAGCACTTCCGAATTGTCCGTGAAATACGGGGTGATCCACTTGAAGCCCTTCCTACCCTCGCCCCCCATCCACCTCCGTTTGTTCCGACTGGCCGCTACACCTCCGAACGCCACGATATCATCGAGGCCCTTCATCCCGAGGACTTCCTGTGGCCCGAAGAACGACGATTAATGCACCATTTCATGTGTCTGCACAATGACGGCTTCGCTTGGACAGATATTGAGCGAGGAAAATTCCGTACCGACTTCTTCCATCCCGTGGTCATGCCGGTGATCCCACACAAACCATGGGTCCAGCGCAACATTCCCGTTCCACCAGGCATCTACAATGAAGTGTGTGAACTGATACGCCGCAAGATGGCAGCTGGCGTCTACGAACCGTCAAATTCATCATACCGGTCGCGCTGGTTCTGCATGGTAAAGAAAGACGGCAGCAGCCTCCGTCTTGTGCACAGTCTCGAGCCGCTAAACGCTGTCACCATTCAGCACTCGGGTGTTCCACCACTCACCGACCAAGTTGCGGAGCAGTTCGCAGGCCGTGCATGTGGCGGCATCCTCGATCTCTACGTTGGATATGATGAGCGCGTACTTGATGAATCCTCCCGTGACTTCACCACGTTCCAGTCACCTTTTGGCGCCCTGCGACTCACCAGTTTACCTATGGGATGGTCAAACTCTGTACCCATCTTCCACGACGACGTTACCTTCATCCTTCAGCCCGAAATCCCTCACTTCACCATTCCCTACATCGACGACACTCCAGTCCGTGGACCAGCCACCCGTTACGAGCTCCCAGGCAGCGGTTACGAGGTCATCCCGAGCAATCCGGGGATTCGACGGTTTGTCTGGGAACACTTCCAGGCGCTCAATAGAATCGTACAACGGATGAAATACTGTGGAGGTACCTTTTCGGGGCCCAAGGCCATTCTATGCGCCGAAACGATCACTGTTCTTGGCCATGTCTGCACGTACGAAGGGCGCATCCCTGATCCCTCCCGTGTCGAGAAGATAGCCAGTTGGGGACCGTGCCGTGATCTGTCCGAAGTCCGTGCTTTCCTTGGCACAGTTGGCGTGGTACGGATGTTCATACGTGATTTTGCACGCCGTGCCAGCCCTCTCGTATCGCTGACCCGGAAGGACGTCCCATTTGTCTTTGGGAAAGAACAGGTCAGAGCACAAGACGACCTCAAAATGGCCCTACTCAGCTCACCGGCACTCCGTCCTCTTGACTACACGTCTCTGGCCCCAGTGGTCCTCTCAGTCGATACGTCCTACATCGCCGTCGGCTCGACCCTTGCGCAGTGTGATCCAAAGAATCTGGCTCGACGGTTCTACGCACGTTTTGGATCAATCACGCTAAACAAGCGTGAATCGCGGTTTTCACAGCCCAAGCTCGAGCTGTATGGTTTGTTCAGAGCCCTTCGAGCATGGAAGATGCACTTAATTGGTCTGCGTAACCTCGTGGTCGAAGTGGATGCACGGTACATCAAAGGAATGCTGGCAAACCCGGATCTAGCGCCCAATGCAGCAATCAATAGGTGGATTTTGAGCATACTCACGTTCCATTTTGAGCTCGTTCATGTCCCCGGTATCTCTCACCGTCCCGATGGCCTTTCTCGACGACCCCCACAGCCTGGCGATACAGCGGAAGAAGACAACGATTTTGACGACTGGGTTGATCAGCTGCATGGGTTTGTGCATATGATCAATGACGCACCGTACCACCGGAACAGCACCCCGCAACGAGTGGCTACCTTCCTTGATGAGACACACTCCGACGTACCAGAGAGTGTCGTCAACGCTCCAACGCCCCCTCTTTCCTATACGGACGTCCCTCGATCACCGGCGGATCTACTTGCGGATCACCGAGTCGACTTGGTCCAAGCCTGGCACGGAAACTTGCAACGTCCGCGTGACATGTCCGACGCCGAATACAAGACATTTGTGCGCTATTGCATGGAGTTCTTCATCAGCGACGGCACGCTATGGCGGAAAGACTCACATGGACGACATAAACTGGTCGTGCCCCCTGCACGTCGAATCTTCATTATGCGATCTGCGCACGATGACACAGGCCACAAAGGCTTCTTTGCAACGCGTGCACTAATCTTCGAGCGGTTCTGGTGGCCACATCTCTCTAGTGACGTGGTGTGGTACGTCCGCACCTGTGATCTGTGTCAGCAACGGCAAACGCGCAGGATCCACATACCGCCTGTAGTCGCAACCCCGGCACCAATCTTTGCGAAAATGTACATGGATACAATGCACTTACCCACCAGCGGAGGCTTCAAGTACGTCGTCCAAGGGCGTTGTTCGTTGACCCACTACCCCGAATGGCGCATGCTTCGTCAGGAAAACGCTGCGGCGATCGCAACGTGGATCTTCCAGGACATCTTGTGTCGCTGGGGGACATTAGTCGAGATCGTGACTGACAACGGGACGCCGTTTGTGAAAGCGCTTACTCACCTGGAGAGACAGTACAACGTGCGGCACATCCGAATCTCCGGTTACAATTCCCAGGCAAATCTGGCGGAGCGCCCACATTTCGACGTCCGGGAGTCCCTCTTCAAAGCCGCGGACGGAATCCAATCCAAATGGCACTCGACAGCCCACTCAGTCTTCTGGGCAGATCGAGTGACTGTGCGTCGACGTATGGGATGCTCACCGTTCTTTGCCGTCACCGGCGCGCACCCGTTGCTGCCACTAGACATCTCAGAAGCAACCTACCTCCTCCCGGCCCCCGCATCCGTCCTTTCGTCCACGGAACTCATCTCACACCGTGCTATCGCCCTGCAGAAGCGCCGGGAACAAATGGCGTTCCTCCATTCCGCCGTCCTCGAGGCCCGCGTGCAAGCAGCGATCCGTTTTGAGCAAGAGCACGCGCACACGATCCGCGACTACGATTTTCAGCGCGGCGACCTGGTCTTGATGAGAAATACGGCGATCGAGAAGTCCCTGAGCAGGAAAATGCGCAAGCGCTACCTGGGACCGCTGATAGTCGTCTCAAGGAATCGGGGAGGCGCTTACATCGTCTGTGAGCTCGACGGCTCGGTTTTCCACCGGCCTATTGCCGCATTTCGCGTCATACCTTATTTTGCGCGCCGCTCTATTCCCCTTCCCCCACTCGAGGATCTGCTCGATATTTCGACGGAACGGTTGCGTGAGCTCGAAGAATCCCTCCTGGTGGACCCGGAGGAGATCGACGAAGAATCAGGGCCTCAGAGCGAGTTTGGCGGCGCTGAAGCAGAGCTCTAGCAACCCAATGACCAAGAACGCATTCCGCAGAACGCACCTATTGTGATCAAGCCCCCGAACCAATAATCCCCCCTCACTTCAGCCTCATTTCGATTCGACGACTGACTGGGGACAGTCAGATTTTCAGTTGGAGGGAGATGACGAGCAGTGATGCACCCTGGCCCCGCAATCAATTGATCAGAAGCCGCATCAATATGACGTAGCAAGCTGCTTGAGCTGACAAAGCAGCCTCAATTGATCTGGCACGTGATGAAGAGCTTCGGACCGGAATCCAATTTCGGAGTTCATTCCCTCTTTGTGGCTCTAACTCCTTTCATTTCGGCGAAATTCAGCACTGACTAAGTAGTAAATTGACATAGAGCTCAATGGTCACCATATCAACAGGAGGTTCAATTTACTTATCTCCTTCTGATTTGATTCACACTTAGTATAAAAAACCTGTAGTACAGTACAAGAAAAACAAGAAATCTTCTTCACCCACTCTCTAGAGTCTAAAGTGACTTCCCAGTACTTTCTATCTCGCTTTCTCGGCGCCTGCTTCTGCATTATTTTCCCAACATTGCCCCCAAACCCCCATTTCGTGCTACAGACATACATATTGATCTCCCCGTCGTTCTATCGTCCTCTTGTCCTGTCCTCCGTCGTCATTATCGTCCCATTTTAAGCCCATTTCCCCGAGCCTGACCTTGTTAGGATCAGAATCCCACACACTATACTGCGCGAGCTCGAGCCGCAGCTCCCTCCCCACCACCTCCGACTAGCCCCCTGTCTCTCCCCGTACAGCTGCGCGCTCATACGCTCCGTAGGCGTGTCACCAGGGAGAATCAAGGCGAGACTAGCATCCTGTGCTGTCAATATTTGCGGTGGCAGAGAAGAGTCCGAGGGGAATTACGTTTCCTGCAAGGAATTCGACGACCCTGAGAAGCAGGAAAGACGCTTCACGAAGAGATAATTGTTGGAGTCGAGCCGAGACACAGGCGTCTGAGTGCCACACACCCAAAATGACAGCCAAACCAGAACCTGCATTTCCCTAGGATTCTTCAGAGTAGCATCCAGGTTTTAAGATTTTAGACTAATTCCAGAACGTATCCTTCTGTTGTGTATTTGACTCAGAGATATCACACACACGGGGATATATATATCGGACCAAAACAGATCTGTGAAATACCGTCAGTGTCAGACCGAATAACACTTGGACAGCACTCCCTGATGTTGTTGGTTGTTCCCCGTTCTTGGTGACCGCCACCGTCACTTTGACAGGAGAAACATGAAGCGAAAGCTAGAGGCGCAGCGATAGCTCAGCGAGTTGGCCTGGGACGGGGTAAATTGCTGCGCTAGGATGCAAACGCATACTACGTACATCAAACGGAGGAGGCCGGGCACAAATGCGGTAGTGCGAGCGCTCTCGCCGGTGTTTGCGAGGTAGTTGGGGCATCATTTCTAGGATTGGAACTGGCCACCAAGGTCTCGGCAAAGGCTAATGTCTGCACATGAGTTCATTCAACATTGAGAATTAGAGTGCCCACTCGGAGGTGCTTACCTCCGGTGCCGAGTCCAATTTTCTTCAGTTACTTCCGATGTCCACGTATCTACAAGCATGAGACAACACGTTGACGAGGTGTTAACAGGGTGCAAACCATCACAACCAAACTTCTCGCAGTCCCTGAATGGGCAGACACATGACAGTCAGTGGGCGACATAACCTGCTAGGGCCACTGACGCCCACGTTTGCGTGAGCCGAGAGAGCTGAAAAATCACGCATAAATGAGCAGACACTCACCAGTAAGATGCGGTATAATCCACGATGCGTAGCTAAGAAAAACCAAGCTGGAAATGTTCGCTTGGTTTGGCCAAGAGGACCGTGATCGGACGAAACGATCCAATTGAGCAGACACGATCGGGCTAATGCACGATCGCGTTATGTTCTCGGGATGATCGGTGCGAAGACAGGCTCTGTCGGCCAGATCTAGAGAGATGCCGGTCGAAAAGCCGTCGGAGAGTGGCACAGGCTGCAAGCTCTTGAGCGCCCCTTGCAGCGCGATTTCAAGATTCGAACCGAAGCTCATACTTGTCTGTCTGCGGTGATTCTCTGTGCGACTGGGAATCGCGCGAAGGAGATATTTCCCAGGACATTCCGAGCTAGAATCGTGTAAACCGGGATCCTCGCCTCGTAAGGGTAGCAGCGACGGTGACCTAGACAGTCACCGGATGAGCTCCCGCGAATCGCGATTTAGAATTCATTCGGGGCAGATGTAGTCTTATATTGTGAGAGTAATGGGGTCATTCGGCTAAAAAGAGTTTTAAGCTCCAGACAATGCATGTTAGAGAAGGTAGGCACACAAAACGAAGGGAAGCATGCGCCCCAGCTCGGCTCGGGCTCACCGATTCGCACAACCACTTTGGACGCCGAAACTTTGCCCAACAGCAAGTGTCCCAGCAAGGCCAGCTGCGCCAGTCCACAGGCTTCAGGATACTTGCCCGTAAGCAACCTTTGCAGATTTGTCCACTGTTTGGCCCATGAGGTGAGAGAGCAAGCGCCAGGAATGATCGCCGCAGCGTGATTGGTCCCCGCGGATCAATTGAAATTGCCATATACGCAATTAGACTCCTCGGTACCCCGATATGGAAAGGGCGCGACTGGTAAAAAGACGACCTCTTTCTGCTCTTCTCTCTTCTGCTATTTATTCCTAGCAGTACCCACCCATCCCCAAACATGAGTCTCTACGCCGACTACCCGTTCCCATGGTCCTTCGAGGCACCCCCACCTCCACCCTCGCGTTCAACTACTCTTCCCCGCGTCGCGCTCGCCGGCAGTCTGGATCCAACGACGGGGATCTTCTACCGCACTCCAGAGCACCCTAGACTGCGTACTGCGCAGGCATGCGAGAAATGTAGGACACGGAAGGCAAAGGTACGAATCCTGTTCACTTCAACTGCCCTCGCGGCTGCAGTGGAGCTGACTCTCCATACGTCAGTGCTCTGGTGATCACCCCTCATGCGCTCGTTGCCTCGCAAGAGGGCTTACCTGCGAATATGCCAAGGAGGGCCGCATTCGCGGACTCAACAAGACGAGGTCCCGCGGCTCACCGTCTGATTCTCCCGTGTTGTCGTCATTGCACCATGCTCGGCGCGCGGTAGACCGCCCACCACTGAAACTAGAGCCTCTCAGCTCTTGCCTGCCGCTATCCTTGCCTCGAAAGCACCCTGCACCTACTGAACGGCGCCTGACTGTCTCCACGAGTTTCGAGCACGGCTACGGCCTCGACGCTACATATCCCCCGTCGCATGTTCGATCAGCTTACATGAGCTCGACGTCTCTGCCCAATCCTGCGCCGTCATTCCCATGCAATTCTTCGCCCTCGATGGCGTACACAGCCTCGTCTCCCCCGTATTCCGCAGCCAGCCATTGCACTCTGGATGGTTATGGGGCACCGTCATCCGATCCGTCCCAGTGGACGACTGCAGAGCAGTCTTACTCGCCTTTGCCCTACCCGCAATATTCTCTGACGCCGGCGTCCTCATATTCGGACCTTCGCTCGTCAGGATCTCAAAATTCGATAGCCGCACCGCATCCACAATATCCCCCGCAGTCCCTGTCGTACCAGACACCACACTATGCCGAGAGCGAGTGCACCCCATCGCCTTCTTCTGCGGCTTCTTCGCTGCTCTATGACGAATCTGTCAACAGCACATCTGCATCCCGCCGATGGGGTTTCGATCCACCATTCGCCTAGACGAAAATTCACTTATCATCGTTTCTCTTTGCCTTGTCTTTATTACCGCTCGCGCACATCGTGGTTGTAGATATCTCTCCCTCTCTCCGCCGGCATCCCATGGACTGCCCTGCAATTGTTTCTACGGTACAAGTGTGTAAATATAAACCAAGTTTGAAATGTACATAACGAATTGCTCGAATAATTGTATCACACTTTACAGTGGCTATTTGGATATGCGTCGAATCTTATTCTAAAGCAAGTCGTCCTCGGTAATTTCAGGTCCATTGTGCGCATGACTGCTGCGGGGAATTTTTTCCGCTGCAGTGTGCACTCTGAAAAAGTCTTGTGCAGCGTACAATGTACGTTTGTGGCGCAGTGTGGTTATGAATTTTTTTGTACCACCGTGCGGGAGATGAATGGATCAGTACTGAAATCAGCCGCGAAAATCGCAAGCCGAGGAAAAGCAGGACAAATTGGCCGTGGTGGAACTTTCCTCGTCCATCAATGACTGGTAGCAAGGAATACTGTTTCTGGACTGACATTTGGACACGACAGAGCTATGGCCCATAGTCCCGTGCCAAAACTGTGGGATCAGGAGCTGGTAATTCGCCGAGTCTTGTCGGGGACCTCCCAACATGGAATAGCTGCGCGCCGCAGAAGAGAAGTCTGCGAGTGTGATCATCCCTGTTCGACGAGGAGCTAAAACGCGCAGAATGCCGTTCGAATGCCGTTATTCCAAGAATTCTTGAAGCCAGGAGGGCCCACATGCCGTGAGGGGAACCATGAAAGACTCTAAACGCCTAATTTAAATTTTAACGTTATTCGTCGTGGTCGAGTAATGGATACCACACGAGCCAAATTCTACTAGACGTCTTCAAGGGAGGGGGTCCGGTCAGCCTGATTTGGCATTCATAATCCCAGCAGTCCGAGTCTGCGGCTCTGACTCGACCAGCTGCAGAGCCTCATCCAATTACCGCAAGTATCGCGTTGTCGCGCTGGCTGCTTGTCAGTCAAAGTATCCACTAAGACTAGGCACATTAAGGTTGTGGAGTTCATGTAGTGGCCTGACCGATTGGGTGTCGACCAAGCTATTGTTCAGGGGCGGTGGATGCTACGTACCAGGTTCCATCACATCTGGGCCACGCATTCCCAGTGAGGCTCGAAGGGAAGGTGGGCCTAGGCCGAGATTCGATTTCTCAACTCGAGTGGAGGTCAGGTGGTGGTAAGGCTAGGATCAAGCCGATCTGATGAGCTGTGATCTGATCGAGTTCGGCTTGATATCCCCCGCTCAATCTCAGACATCCGAACTGAGTCAGGCACCTGGACTCCATATCCACTTCAGATCGATCCATCAGCTGTGGGCACAGGCGTCTGGCTGGGATCGGCTCTACTTAAGGTCCGAGTATAAGTAATTACTAAAAAAAAGAAAATTGGGGTTATGCTCAAATTTGTGGGACACTTCCACTTGGCAAGTTCAAATGGGAAAAGAGCGCGGTAATCTCGCGAATGGCTGAGTCTACACGACTTGGAGCACCTGAATTATCAAGGAGGCTCGGGAGCCGAGGACTCTCAGACATGGTAACGCTACACTTCAGGCTCAGCTTGTAGCCAGGAACAAATTCAAATCATCGAGACAAATTATTTGCCGAATAAGGATTCGCCCTGGGAGATTGAAGATCAGCTTCGGGAAGTTCCGGGCTTTGAGGGTTCTCGGGTTGGCCATGCATTCTACATGGCCAGATTATAGAGGTCCTCAAAGTCGATGCCCCTCCGCTTATCTAAGGAAATGATGACAAAGAAGTTCATCCTAAGCACCAACTCGCCTAAATTGGGGAGAGTCTGAGACCCAGGGCGGAGCGGAACACAGTTTCAGAAATACTACTGCATTCGCATCAGCTGAAAATGAACCTAGAGATATGGGAGAGTGCTTTCCAATGCTTTGGTACCAATTTTGTGTGTTTTTTATTGGTTTCGTTGCTAGGAAAGAGACGTGGTTTGTCTTGAAATCCTCCAAGCTGTCCACTAGCACAGCGACAGATTCGATTGACCTCCGATCAACGTTTACGTCAACGCGGATCACGTCCTAAATAGGCTGCTCAGTAGCCCGATTAGGCAGTCGAGACTGCAGATAAAGACATCCCACCGCTTGTCTTTCCGTGTTTCGACGCATCCCGCGCCAGCCTATATCGATCCTCGCCGATGGAGAAGAAGTCGACCGGCCGTCCGCTCTCGTGGCCCTACGCCCCGCCGGCCATTCCTGCGACCGTCGACATGCAGAAACTGGCCTCGCCGCACCCGTCGACTAGGGACGATCTCTTCTTCCGCGTCGCGGAGCCGCAGAGACTCCGCACGTCACAAGCGTGCGAGAAGTGCAGGATTCGCAAAGCCAAGGTGCGCTACCCGGGCAAACCCATTGCGTGCACACGGACTCACTGCCGCGCCAGTGTTCGGGTGAACGCCCGACGTGCGGTCGCTGCGAAGCACGGGGTCTCAAATGCGAGTACTCTACTGATGCGCGCGGTGCAAGGGGATACAACAAGTCGCGTCCACGCGCCGCCTCCACCTCGCTTACGCGTGCCCCGGGCCACGCCAAATCGAAACCCGCTGCGCCCCCAACCTATTCATCCCGTAACAACAGTCCGCCCACTGCTTCTTCATCCTACAGCCGACCACCCTCGCTCAAGCTAGACCCGGCGTCACCCTCGCACAGCGGGCGTCCTCGCAGCCATAGCACGCTCACCACGCCGACTTCTGCCAATTTCCCCTTGGGAGCGGAGGCAGGAGTGGGTGTCAGTCTCCTCGCGCGACACGGCGGAGGATCAGCCAAGCGTATGTCACTCCCGAACCTCGACCTCGACGGACACGGTTTCTTGAGCCCATATACCCACGACACGCCCTTATCTGCTTATGCGCCTTCTCCACTGTCTGTGTGCATTCCTCAGAGCGACGGCTACCTGCGCTCACCGCTGGATGGCGATGGTGGATGGAGCACCCCGCCGCCTTCGTCGGCCGCGTCTTCCGTCCTGTACACCGACAGTGCGAGCGAACAGTCGTACCTGTACTGTGACTCGCGAAGAGGTAGCTGGGCTCCACCATTCGCCTTTACACCGGGAGATGTTGATGCGTCGTACGCCAAAGGAGACACGGCCTTTGAACCGGACTTGGTCCTGCACCCAGATCTGGACGATGAGCCGGTCGCCTATCTGCACAATTTCCTATTCGATGAAGAGCTTCTGCCGGTGGAGCCACAGAGGCCTTACACGGCTGACAACCATTCTTCGTCTCTTGCTCCCCAAGTCCTCCCACACGCCCAGAGACCGTACAGTGCCCATGCCATGGACAGCCGGTCCTCCTCTGGTGGAATGGAAAGAAGTTGGTCCCAAGGTTCCTTGAGACAGCGAAGCTCGAACGGTAGCAGCGGCAGTGTGCATGATTTGTTGCAAGGGTGCGTTTGACATGGACGAATTGTCGAATCTTTGCACTGAGCGGTTGAGTATAGGACACCGCCGATGATGATGACATCGACCTACGAGTTTCCAAATCGATCGATGTACGACCAGCAAGACTCGCCTCACCCAGCAGTCGACCCCGTTTTGTTCCCATCAACAAGCACAGGATACCCATTACTACCGCATCTCGATGTCGAAGAGAATCAATTTGCGTTCGATGCTGTAGACCACGGCATGGACATCGACCATACTGTTTCGGCGATGGCGGCCATGACGACGGACGTGAGCCACGTGTTTGAGATGGACGCCACGTTTTCGAATGCTGTGAGCGGGGGCGATGCTATGAAGCGGACGATGCTACAGGGTTGGATCGAACCACGAAAGATGGAGGCGGAGTTGTTGGTTTCATCCAATGCCCAGCCGCTACCAGCGTCCATAACCGACCGAGGAATGATGCAAAGCGCAGATCCAGTGCCCCTTGCGATGCCTGTCCCAGTGATAATGGCGTCGGCAACGTCGATGATGCTGATGAATCGAGCATCGTTAGGGATGATGCGCAGTGTGTCCGAGGGCGAGCCTTTGCCCACGGCGGACGACGGTGAAACGCGTAGAGCGAGGGCTTCGACCATCAGTGGGCCAAGTCTGGAGTATGGGACCGGTAGCTGGTGAGCAGTGATGAGTCGATGCTTGGCGAGCTTGTTTTCGGATTCGGAGATTGGACTGGACACACTTACTATTCCCACAATTTACTACTCCTACTAGCGTCTACATTCAGGGACATCTGCACATCGATTATACACGTACTTTGCTTGCCCAAATCAAGTTTCTGGGTTCATTCGTAGTCTTCCATGCACGCTGTGAAAATGCTTTCCACAAATGACATCGACTGTCACATGACCATTCTCTTTGTCACGTGCGAACATTGGGGAATAGCGTCTGTTGGAAGAATTGTTCCAATTGATACCGAATTGGCAGTTGCCACTGACTCGGGCTGTTTCATTCTACAGTCCCACTACCGTCGTCCATAAGGGTCAAGGTCTATCTTGATGATGGAAATTTACTAAGTGCTGGGGGTCCTGGCACTCCGTGACCCTATGCCTCATATCTGCTTAGTGAGGTGATATCGGGAGACATTTTTCGGTACAGTGAGCGCCGTCGTCGTCGATGGCAACGACGGCTTCTAGTAATTTCGCGCTGCAGAGTGATTTTTTTTTTTCATTGTACAGTAAATATTAGTATGTTGAGAGATCCTAGGACCAATGCTTTAGAGGAAAAGCATTGCCTGTCGGCTAATCTGAGGTCATGACGTGAGTTTGACTTGTCGCGCGTCAAAAAGACCGGTTTGGGGTTCTTGACACCCTTGTCGTTGAGCGCTTGATACGGCGGGCAAGCTGTGAGCGCTTGAGCAGCCATCGCAATGGCCCATCGTCTGTGGAGGAGGGGGAGAGTCGGTGCAGGGGTCTTCGCGTTCTTCCGTGGGTAAATCAGACCTTGCCCTTGAAAAGTGATAGGGTCGTGTTTTACGGAGGGGTAATTAGAGTTGTAAAATTCTCATCGGGTTCGAGCACAGAGGGTGTGTACATATTTAACTGGGATATATATGAATGAGAGGTTGTAGCCGTACACACAAAGAACACATAGAGCGCGCTGGTCCAAGCGCGACGCGACAAATAACGATGGGATGAAGAGATAACCAGGCGATGACTAACAACGAATGACACACCGAGGAGGGGCCTCGGTGTGACTGGAGATCACTCACTGGACCCCAGCATTGGATCATGATCGCACTTTCCTAAAACAGACCTTGACCCTTATGGACGACGGTATCCCACCCACAGAAAATTTTCGACGTCAAATATCTATGTCTGCGTACCGCGAGCCGCAAAAAATCGAGCTATTATTGCTCCCGAGAACGCTGGAAGTAGTTAAGGTTCAGATTCCACGCCTTCGAAGAACCTCGCCTTTCGAGACAGGGTTTTCTGACTCCGGATTCCGGCTAACCCAGGTACCTGACTGCGGTCTCCCTGACGTGGATCTCGTTCCCTTCGACGGATCTCTGCCATGGAATCTCATGTCTTGTGAACCACTGGATAGGGGCCATGCCCTGGATCGGGTCCAGTTTGGAAGCGATCGCGTTCGAAAAACTTGGAACAGGATCAAGATCGAAGTTTGGGTCGTGGGTGGTTCCTCGAAGGATAGCACGAAGAAGTTGCACGCGGGCTGGGCTATTGGTTCAGCGTGCCTTTCTGCTGGCAGTCTCCCTGTCACTGAACGAGTAATCGACTCAGGGCTGTCGACTCTCACAGAAGAAGGGTATATCCCCGAAAGTCGAATCAGCACCTCCCTGATAGCGTAAGCTGGTCCTCAGCCACATTGAAGAACCACGAGACACATCATTGCCATGAGGGCAATGATCCCTTTCTGATGTGAGTGGAGCCAACAGTCCACTCCAATCTCGAGGCAAGCTTTGACCCCACGACGAAGATAGATTTCTCACCGCGCAGCTCGTCTAATACGGGAAATCGTAGAACGCTTTCAGTCTATACATATCTTATTAGATCAGTGTCCTGATTGGCCAGCATCAGTCTGCAAGATGGCACCTGTGACTAGAGAATCGTGTGGGAGCTTGCTTGCTAATGGCTGTCGGAGCTTACAGTGTCGCAGCTCACTGTAGTCAAGCTCTGCGGGTAACATCAGTGGGGAGAAATCTGGATCAACGCGGCCAGAGCAGCATGTTGGATGCTGCGGCCGGGACGAGCAGTCCCATCATACGCACAGACTACTAGTATTACACACGATCAGTCAACTTGCATTGGCCGTAGAACCCGGGCATCAACGAATCCCATCTCATAACACGGCAGATCTTCGTTATCGTCTCCCTTGGCGTTGCGCCGCGCATCGCAAGCGTTGTTGCAGCCAGCCAGGGAGTCGGGCATGTGGACCAACACCGCGACGCAGAGTTGAGCGGGAGGAGAAGGAGGAGAGGAAGGGGAAGCTGGATTGGACATCTCGGCCTCGGCAGGAGGGGAGTGGTCGTCGGAACGGGAGGAGAAAGAATCTGGAAGCTGAGATTCTCGGACGGCACGAATCGGTCTGAGCAGAGTGCGCAGCGTGAATGGACGCCTGCTCGGTGGACTTTGGTCCGCGTGGTTGCTCGGACTTTCCACCGGCCCTGGCGGCTTCGTGTACAATAGTGAGGTATCCAAAGCCGCGACGGGCTGCGAAGGGAGGCGCTTGTCAGCAGCGCAGGATCGTGATACATAGAGAGACAGGGAAGAACGCACATGCAATGCCTCCCAACAACCTTTCCCATCCGCCTTTTCGTCAACATACACGTCGTACATCTTTGGCCTCCGCAGCAGCGTTACTGGCTTCGCGTTCCCAGGCTGTCCAGGCGCTACGAAGGTCCCATTGGCTATCGCGCGTTGTATCCTCCTTCGCGCGAGGTGCATGCGCAGGACGAGGAACGCAGTGGCTACGGTCAGGACCACGACCGTGGAGAGGAAGGTATAAACTGGGATCGCTCGGTGGAACGGACGAGTGCGGAATTGGCGTTACGTACTATACAGCTTGGGGTTCCCTGCACCGGGACCAGGAAAAGTGCTGTCGGTGCCGCCACCGCCGCCTGGCGGCGGTGCACTGGAGGTTACCTGAGGCTGAGAGCCAGAGGACGTCGACATGGCGCCGGGCAACCAGTGGGACTGCCTGCCTCACAGAAGGTGATGAATGACGGTATGATTATGATAGGCATTAGGAGTTGCCGGGTACCGGCCCGGCCCGAGAGCGTATGTGTGGTAAATATAGATAGATGTACAAACTCGACAAGCAGAGCATAGATCTAGCACTTGTGGGCGTCGACATGGACCAAGGCCAATTCGACAACGACTCCGGCTGCTCTCTTCTTCCTGTGGAGAACGAACATGAGCAGGAACAGTGCGCATCCAACGGCGGCCATAATCTGGGGTCGCATTCAGGAAGGGATGATCCGACAGCTGGAAAACGCACCCCACTGAAGAGAGCAGGACGCCACCAGTAGAACTTGTCTGTCAATAGCATGCCGTCGAGGGGAGGGCCTTTGACAAGTCATTACATGGCCCAGACCGAGATCAGGCATCACTCACCGATCAGGATTCCGAGTCCTGCAGTCTCAATCAGCAAGCACATGCCACAGAGAAGCGAAGAGCACCCACCACTCAGGGAAGTACAGAGACCAAGCCGAGCACTGCACACGATGTTCAGCAGAGTTTTCAGAGCACATGGCAGACGAGGTGCTTACCCCAGCTCGGACATGTCGTCGGTGAGAGAAGCGAAGAGCGGGCCCACGAGAGTGACGACTGTGACGTGCGGACAGCTCAGGCCCTGCTGCACGAGAGAGGGACGACACGCACTGCATCCTGCGCAGAAGCCGTACAAGACACCGATGGTCACTACACTGGCGATGTTCCTGAGGGCCATCATCGCGAGGATCAGGATGGCCCCACAGGCCGTGCTGATGGCCATCATGGTCTTGGGATTCAGTCGTCCAGCAAAGAAGCCCGGGGCGAGTCGGCCAAGGAAACTCGACGAGTTCATGATCACCAGCTGCGGCGAATCAGAGACACGGGGACGCACACGCAAGGTGGCTGCTTACTGCATAGAAGGCAAAGGATGGATCAAGGTCGTGTTGCACTGCGTCAAGTTGGAGATAAAAGAGTGGATAGTAGAAGCCGACTGTGTAGACACAAAGCCTGTGTAGAACTGGTCAACGCGGTCACCACGTAGGGGTGCGCCTGGACGAACCCCAGAGTCGCTGTGACGTAGGCTTTATCCCGGGCAAACTTGACCAAGATATGACGGAGATGAATCGTTTGCTTGGGAGGAGCGAGTCGCGTGCGGAACAGCAAACATGCGAAGAGCAATAGCCCGGAGATGAGACCGGCGCTAACGCGGACGGCATTGCCGAAGCTCAGTCCGCTGCGCAATGTATGATTGAGCATGATCGGGTGGATAACGGCCCCTAAAGAGGAGCCGGAAGCAACGATGGACATGGCCAGCGCTCGACGCTTCTGGAAGTGATGTGATAGAACGGCCATGCATGGCACATAGGTCATGCCTGCGCCGATTCCATTCGCGACTCCCTGAGTGAGGAAAACCTAGAGCGTAATGAGCTGCCAGATACGCAAGCGAACAGCTTTCGTCGACGTGCTTGGTAAAAGTGGTTTGGCTGAGCGAGCGACAGCATAAACAGAGACAGCGACGTCAGTAAGCAGCCTCCGAACATCAGATAGTAGCTGGGCCTAATCAGACGCGTTCAAAACACAGGAATGTGCCTGTCTCACAAGTAGCCTTGATCGTGCAGGCGCCCAGCGGCGAATCCGCCTGAGAGCAGGATAAAGATGTTGACGCTCCCAATCCATCTACGACAGTCAGTCTTCTCGGAGGATCAGAATTTCATAGTCCATACGAGATCGAAGACGAAGAGTAGTTGTCCAAGTACGTCCGAGCGTAGAAGTCTGACCGTTTCGAATCATTGAACGTCTCAGAAGCCCGGAACGCGAGTAACTGCACCTTGATAGACACCAAAGGAGCTGCTGTACCTGTTGGGTAGTGAGCAGGCACAGCGCGTCGGTTGAGCAGCGTCGAGCGTACCCGAAGCTGCAGAACATAACCAAGAAACTATCTCCGGTGAGCAGCTAGCCTTTGGGATGCGACAAAACGCGACCTACGATGCGACCACTGTGCCCCAGGCCTCACGTCCTCCGTCAGCAACTAGCGCGGCTTCAGGTAGAACATGAACGGGAAGCGGCGTTTGCTTTCTCTCCACAATGCATTCGGGAGTCTCAAATTGAATCTCGGCATTGTGCTTTTCATTGAGGGTCGGCATGGGTGGAACAAGCAAAGGAATGTGAGGTGAAGGAGAGAGAGTGCAGCGCGAGTCCAAGCGTCTTTTAGAGTGGAATTCCCGTTGGTATTACGCAAGTCTGTAATGGAGAAGGAAGGATGAGAAGGGGAAGTCCAGCAAAGTTTGCCTCAAAATTGCTCAGAACCTCGGAATTTTATGACGTGATTCCGTCGCGGTCTGGGTCCATGCGTCCTTACGGCCGTTTCCAGGGTATTATATCGGTTCGAGATATAGCGCCGCAGCGTAAAAGAGCAGCGCTACATCCTTGCGTAGATTTAGTGCTGTCTGAGTTTGGCGATCGCACGGCGATCAAGCGACGGTTGACGTTGATCGGATGATGCAATGCGCGTAAGGTGATCACTTTGCATCACGTGTCCATGGAGTTCCATCCGAGTACTAGTGGCTTGCGCATTTGAGATGGAAGAACAGATTTGATTTGCTGTTCTCTTATTGTGATTGTCTCGGGAAAACTTACCCGAGAAGCTTGAGGGACACGCTGTCATTGCCGATGAGTGGGAGTCTTAGGAATCGGCATTGGTATCCATGTTTCGTTCACGCCACTGATGGGCGATCACCCTGCTAAGCACTTAAGATGACCCAGAGCTGCAGTGTTTTTGACAAGGGATATTCTGTCCAAAAGATCCATCCGAGGAGTCAGGTTATATGAAGCCTTCTTGAGACAATGCCATCTCCTCCGGTCTGGCATGCTCCAAGTCATAGCAAGGGTCCGGCCGGAATCGACAACGGACAGTCCATTCTTCTGGCGCGCCGTGCCTCGTGGACGAGTCCGTGAGCAGCCGCCACTTGGTGCACTATTCCTCGGGAACAGCCCAAGCACTTGCTGACTTCCTCGGATGCCACTGAAGCCATATGGATAAGTGTCCAAAGTACATACCAGATATATCCTTCTCTACTTTTCGTCGAAATGGAATGACTCCGCAAGCACACTGACTTCTGAGTGCACTTCGCATTCTGGAAAGCATATATCCATCCCCACGTAAATTGAAGAATCACCGCAGAACATTTCTCTTCTTCTGCCCGCGCAAAAGAATTCTTCTAAGTAGGCATCGTTCCACTCTGATTCGGGATCCGTCCATTTTTCAGATGCCCAGTCCTGCGATACTTGCATCTGCCAAAACTTCAGAACGAAATGCAGATGATTTCGCGTCTTCTTCGACGTTATGATCCCAATGAGTACGTAACGTTTGTCGTCAGGAAGAAACAGAAAGGGGAATGGCATCACATAGCCACCACGCTTGACGCGCTCTGTCACACAGTGGCATTCGAATTTCGGCGTGACGGGTTTGGCGACGATTCCGCCTCTGACCACCACCTCCTCACGCCAACGGCGAAATGGCGCGCCGAAGAAAGGAGGAGATCGACGAAGAAGCACGCATCGTGGACGCCAAGCTCATGGTTCTCCGCATGAAGGAACTAGAGTTCGAGAGGATCTTGCACGAGATGCGCCGATTGAGGGAGTCGACGGGTTCGGAGAGGCGGGCTTTGGAAGCAAGACAGCAGGAGCTTCAGACAGAACGTCAGCCTGTCAACTGGCTGCCTCCGGAGCTGATCATCCACATCTTTCTCGCGTTCGTGGAGAGTGGCTCGGGTCACCCCGCGGAGGTGTACCACCGGGAGCCTGTCACGCTCTCGCACGTATGCTCTCGGTGGCGCTCTATCGCGCTCAGCACGTCGCAGCTGTGGACACGGATTTGCGTTCAGGGCGAGGCTTGGAACGCCCGGCCCATCGTCACGTTCGTCGCACGGTCGGGCAGATCCCCTCTGTCGGTTATATTCGCCCCACCACACAACCTGCCTGATGGTCACGAGCATCGACGAGCCTTGAAACTGCTCCAACACGTGGAAGTCGATTTTGAGCGGATGCGCAGCATCGTCTTTCACTCCCAAGGGACCGAGGCCATGCAGCAGTTCATCAGCGTGCTCACACGACCAAACCACGCCTTCAAAGCGCTCGAAAGTCTCGATCTTTCCATAGACGCGATCGCCGCGTCATCCCTCCTCCTGCCTACTCTCCTACCGACCCAGCTACGAGAACCCGCGCCGGTATCTTCGCATTTGACCATCCTCCGCCTCACCAAACTCCCTTTATTCAACATCCCCAGTCATTTCCTTCCCAAATTGCTCACTCTCGAGCTCGAGTTCCCTCCGAAGAAGATACTGGTGGAGGGCTCGACCTCCTACGTGCTTCGCATGTCACAGCTCGTTCGCTTCCTCGGATGTACTCCGAGGCTCGAGGAACTTATTCTCCTCGACACTTGTCCGTTCATGGATGTCACGCTGGATAGAGAGGATGCCGTTGAGATCTCAGCCAATCACGTGCGGGTAAAGCCAGTTGTACTGCTGCATCTGCGCTCGCTGCAATGGTCCTATCCGTTCGCAAGTGACATTCACTATTTTCTCTCGTTCTTTGTCATCCCGGCTCTCGAGCGTTTTGATGTTGACGTGGACGAGTATCCTCTCGTCCGGAACAATGTCGCCCTGTTGCGAGGTTACTCTGACCACTCAGCATCGCAGCTTTTCGCTCAAAACCGCGTCATCGAGCTCTCCAATCTGCGCGAGATCACATTGCAATGTCTGAACGAGGAGACTGTAGGCAGTGTCCTGCGCAAGTTCGGGTTTCCGGTGCTCGAGAAACTCGACATCGGTCACGTGAGCGGTTCCATTCAGAGCGGCCGCAACAGGGCCAAGGAGGCGCTACCCACCTTTCCTCGATTGGAGTCGATGTTCAGAGACCCGCGCCTACCAGGACTGACCCATCTCACCATCTGCCACTTCGAGATATCGGCGGAACTGGGCAAAGCGGAGGCCATGTTGGGTTATCTGCCGAATCTTGTTTCGCTCACTCTCGATAACTGTCTCGGCGTCGGCAAGCTCTTTGAATGCCTGTATCAACTCTCGGCTGTTTCTGGTAGCATTACCAGGGTCTGTTCTCATCTGGATTCTATCGAGCTGTGGCGCTGCTCAGATGTTGATGTGCTCCCTCTCATAGCCATTGCATCGATGCGCAATGGGGCTCACAGTGCCCTGAACTCCCAGTCCCGCAGACTCCAATTTATCAAGCCCAAGGCGCGGCCGATGAAGAAGCTTCCGAGACAGGCGGTCGGGAACAAACAAGAGTTGGACCAGAACCTGCCTGCACGGCTCCGGCATGTTCGCATTGTGGGATGTGCCTTAATCGACGAAGATCACGCGGAATCACTCCGGGCTATGGGCGTGGAGACTGTCCTCTGGACTTCATTCTAGTCGTAGTATCTATAATTTCCATACGCTCTCTTCTTGAGGGTGCAGTCGCTGTAATCAGACGAGTAAATACAGAGCCATCGTGACAGTTTGGACGAACCTCAGGTGCCATCGACATGTCCGCGAGCGCGTCGAGAACGCCCTGATAGTTATTCAGTCACTCGGCGCGAGCATGGGCTAAACGATCCACCTTTCCCGTCCACGCTTCCAGCCGGCCCACATGTTCGGGCGTGATAAAGTCCTGCGAGGTCCGAGAGGCGAACACCATGTGCGCCGCTGCAGCTCGGATGACGGTATCATGTCCGGCGAGCGCAGCACCTCCCGAGCTCGGCTGCGAAGGAGCGGTTGCCGAGGGCTTCACTGGCCCAGTGGCGAGCGGTGGCGTCTCGGCATCCACGATCAGATCTTTGCGACCCGACCAACAAGCCGCCAAGTGATACAGCCAGAAAGTCTCCATCTATATATAGAGAATTCAACCAACAAACGTCATCGCGAGTGGGCGAGCTACGCGCCTCGAACGTAGCCAAACCGGGGACCGACGCTTGCAAGTGCTCGATGAGGTGCTCGTTCTGATCTGGGAATGAAGTTTGTCTGCCTTGTGAGGAATAGAAACTGGCACTCCGAGATCAGATGGAATCGATAACATCGGCTGAGAGTAGGACCTGTCAGCAGATGCATTTGTGCTTCCGGCTACGATTTCTCCCTTGTCCTCCGCCGGTTTCGCAGCTAAAAGAGATTTGAAAACCTGCACACCTGTGAATTTCCTTCGTCGGAATCGGATGGAAAGAGCGCCACCTGCTCATGGAATGCTGGATCTGCGACGGCCTTCGGGTCGCGTCACGTAGCACGCATGAGACAGGAACATCAGTGCGGAGATTCACTAGATCTCACCGGTTTGCTGACTCTGTACGGCTGCTCGGTAGTGTTGTTGCTGGGTTGGACGTAATCGTAGTCGAGGTTCCGTTCAACAGCTACCGAGTCCTTTGGAATGACGACAGATCCCACCGGTATGTCAATGAGTCCTCCGCAGGAGCCCAATCTAAACCGGCAGTAAGGGGATGACGAGAGTGCGATGGGCCAATCGCCTCCGTTCGATCACGCACCGGATAATGAGCATGTCACCACTGATACACTCACGCACCTCGCGGACGAAGAAGTCGACGTTGGGGTGACCCATGCCGATGCTGACGACAGACACGGGGGCTCCCTTGTATCTCCCCGTGATGGTAAGAAATCCACGCTCGGAGGAGAGCTCGAACGGCTCGGGTTTGGCGTCGAAATGAACAGCGATTGACCGGGCACGGGATGGGGATCCGACAGTGACCTGAAAATCATGGGTCTGTTCATCGCGCTTCATCAACTGGGTTGCCTACGATGCGATTTGCGATCTCGCCAGGACGCAGACCCAGATGATAAACACGGAGATCGGCGGTGCGTGGAAAATCTAGAGTGGTGCGTGATCACCACCGGGGCCAAAAGAGGATAATTGGGAGTTTGTTCGCACTGGCGTCTGTGAGAGTGTGCTTCATCGTAGTGGACAAGATGTCAGTGCTTCAGAGAGGTGGAGCGTGTGAATAGAGGCTGTGTCAGGGGTCGGAATGTTCCGGCATCGCTCGAGGGAATTTGGCAGATAGTCGAGTTCTGGATGGGTTCAGCCTGGAGCAGCGGGCAGTGCTTGACTATTCAAGCCTCTAGGACACAAGAAAATGAAGAAACGTTCATGTGCTGTGTTACGAGAGTGCCTTGGTAAATCATCGTAGCCCGACGCTCGCTCCGTGCTTGTCACGGAACAGCTCGGGCCGGGACGCTCAGGTACCGTACCGGAGCGTCATTCACGATCGCCCTTCCCGATTCGCGTACTTACATATGTGGGTTGTTCGATTGTTCGTCAAGCGGCTCATCATCATCACTTCGGCCAATCCTCGGAGGAGACAGGTCACGAAATCGATACTATTCGCTGGTCACAACTTGACAGCAGAGGCTGGCGATGTAAGCATGAGCTGCTCACTGTCGCACGGCGTCGAACCATCGCACGTGCCTAGAGCTTGGAGTGTTGTGCAGCCCAAATTTGTCGAAGGTGAGGGTTGCATATCTCGTTTGTTAGCCAAGATTCCGGGGCCCGAAGATCCATCCGGACAGAGATCAGCAAAATGCGAAACAACTCGTTATGATCGCTCGTTATGATCGCAACGATAACTAGCGCCATCTATTTATGTCTAGTGTGAGTTTATCGACTTTGTGCTTGAATGCCGGACGCGCTCTCTTTTCAGATGTGGGCTTGAAACGGCGTAGCGGATGCACGCTTCGTTTTTCAAGGGTCTTGCGTCTGAAGGAGAATGAGGCAGAAATTCACACCGCTTGACGGGGAGTCTCAGATGTGGGCATGGGCAGAGAATCACCCGCCATGTGCCGCTATCTGTACGCCCCTCCTGGAGATGCGTTGGGCTCGCATTCGTGTTGTCTTTCTCCGAGCCTCCGCGGCGACATGAAGTAATTATCCCTATTTCAACCGACTCCCGACCAAGACCAGATCTCGGGACTCCAAGTCCCTAGGCAATGTCCACAGCTCCTATGACAAAGCTTTCAAAATGCAGAGTTCAACATCACAAGCAAGTAAGCGGGTCAAGTCACGTGAGTCGAGCTAGATCTCGGCGAGGCCAAGGCAAGAGAAAAGAAGGGCCACTCATAGAACTCAAAACAAGCTTTTTTCTTGGTTTGATTCGCCGTCAAGTTCCCGTTCGTTTGCTTTTCTGCGCATCCTCTGCAACGTGAGAATGAAACGACAGGAGACAAACTGTCTGGGAAAAGACCCGTCCGGCGACGTTTGAGGCTGACTGGAAGTAGTTCCAACGACATTGAGCGAAATTACCGAATAGAACAAGGAATGCTCTGGTCGGCCGGGGTTTCATCTCGGTCGTAGCCGTTAGTCGGCGCTTTCATACTGAGGACTTAGCGAATAGTTGGCCAGGCTGATGGTGATCTGTGAAGTGGGCCGCACGCCGAGAGCGGAGAAAGCCGACGGGAGAGAGGCCCACCACAAGCGCAGAGCGATACGACGCGATACTTTGAAACTTTTGAGGGTGCTATCGTGTTGTGGCTGGCCCCCCGTTCAAGAAGCGCTGATCATCGCGTGGTAGCAAGCACAGAGTTTTTTCGCGTGGCCGACTGAGTGGAAAAGTCTGTTTGGAAGCGGCTGGAGGCTAAAGCACTAAAGCATGTCCGACATTTTACATCTTCCAGCGAGAGGTTAGTCATCCGTATACGTTTCTTAGCCTTTTAAGCGTGTCTTCACGGTATTTCGATGGAGGGAAAACGCAGGATCTGGGTTGGCCCGGAGTATAAAGCGCCTCTAGGCGCGGCGAAGTGCGTTCGATCCGGGTCCTGTTCGCACCGCAGCAAGGACAGAGAGCGAAGGCGAGAAGCCGGGAAGCAAATCAGAAGTGGATTCTTGCTTCGGACGCTAGCACTCGCGAGAAGGGAAGGGAAGTGCAGTGCGCCACCAAGGATTGGCGGAGCGAAGCCAGGTCGAGGTGCGTCACGGTGAAACAAGGCTAGGCGCGCAGATGAAACGTCTCCTGCCCCAGCGATAGATAGCCGTGTGATCCACAAATCACTCGAAAAAGTGGCAGAGCACGGGCACGGCTACGGGCTGGAGACCGTCTGACTCGTTGCTAGGCCTCGATGGCGCGCGCGACATTTGACGGAGCGTTGCATCATTGTGCGTCTCTTTGGCCGACCGGCTCAGGGGTCAAGGGGGTCTGCTTCGATCGGGATCTCACTTCCATTTTTGGCCTGCCCATCACGGCGGGTTCACTAACACATTTCGATCGGACAGAGATCGAGAATCGGGCTCGGAGACATGGCCAGTCTCAAGAGGAGTGCTTGTCTTAAGACACCGGCTTCTCCGTTCGTTTCCCTCCATCCTCCTCCATGCATTATTCCCAGCCAAGTCCGTCAGAAGACATCGACGACACGGTCTTCAAGCTCGAGGACCCCGATGATGGTGGGCGCGTCTCCACATCTCCCATAGCCGTTTTCTCATGTATTGCGGCCGCAGAGGATCACACCCTGACCTCGCAGACCTTGAACGCGGACGGCACGCCCAAACGACCCATGAATGCGTTCATGATCTTTGCTCGCCGTAGACGCCCTCAAGTCTCTTCCGAGAACCAGTCTATGCGCACTGGCGACATCTCTAAGATCCTGAGCCTGGAATGGAAGTCCATGCCTACGGTGCGCCCCCTCGCTCTTGCCACTCGGTTTCGGGCTGATTCCCTGCAGAGCGAGAAGCAGTATTTCCAAAACCAGGCGAAGCTGCTCAAAGCCTCGTTCAACGAGCGGTACCCTGACTATGTCTATCGTCGCCGCCCAAACAACACACGCAAACGTCGGCGCTCGGACGCCGCAGCCTCCACGGGCTCCGCATCTTCCCATTCCCCTTCCACCTCCCCGGCGTCTTTCCCTGGTCCGTTGCCGCAGACCAAAGGCGGTGACAGCGATGATGCGAGCAGCCCAAACACGGACGGCGAGGAGTACACATCTCGAATGTCATACTCCGGATCGTACAGCAGCCCCGCATACAGCGGCGGCTACTCTGGTAGCTATAGCCACGCCCGCAGCACGTCGTACCCATACCCGCCAATGCAACATGCCCACCGCCATCCGCCCAGTTACGACTCAGCTCATGCCGTCAACTCTTCCTTCTACCCGTACGATTCCTCGCAATCCTCGCCTGCCACGCACCAGTCGTACGGGGCCAGCTTGCGGAAAGTGCAGAGTATTCCCTCCATTCCATCGATGTCCCTGCCGTCCGGTCCGTCACCCTCAATGATCGGGCTGGATATGTCCCCGCCGTTGGGATGGTCTCCCCTACCGTCGTCTGGCATGTCTGCTCACTCGTCCTATTCGTCGAGCTCCTCCTACTCTCCGGCCCTTGGGACGCGGAGCACGTCGGCTTCCTCCGAACACTCCGCCTCCTCATACCCTTCTTTACCCCACTCTCCCGGACCATCATCTAGTGCTGCCCGATACTCGCCCTTTCACTCGAGGAGTGGCAGTTCCGGATACAATACCCAGTCTCCTACTCCTTTCTCCACCGGATCAACGTCGTACACGGGGAGTTCCGTGCCCCGCTCACTAACGGAATCGGGGTCTCCCCTATTGCCTGGATTGAATGCGTACTTCAGCGGCTCTGGTGGCACGGACTTTGGCTCGGGCTGGCGGTCGGAGACGACCGTGAAGCTATTGTGAACTCCTGTTATTTTGCATGTCACCTCCCTCTAGGCACCAACGCGAAAATGTATCATACTGAATCATTGTCTAGCACAGCTATATATCCCACTCCCACTGTACCAGTATTTTCTGTAGTCGTATCTTCATTGGGGCTTCCACTTTTTTTTTTTTCGCGCGCGTTACACGGGGGAGATACGATCAGGTCCTGCGGGACCCTTGCCGCTTGAGCTCCTCGCATAAGTGTTGGAATGGTCAGTTCTTCGATTGTGTCCAACAAAGGGACGCAAACTGGTCAAAACGGTGGTCAGTGTTACCAACGGATCAACAGAAGGCAGCGACCTCTGATACTGATAAGAGGATCAAATTAAAGTTCCCTCCAGAGCGGGCTCGATTCTCGAGCGTTCTCGAGCCACACATGGAATCGGTGTCTCTCGTTGAGGACCTCCGACAGGTTCCACAAGTTTTGCCGCTAGCCCGCCGCTTCCAGGTTCCAACCAACCCCCTGTTCTACATCCATCTCGATGCTCCATGCTGAGCAAGGGTCACGATGTCGCAAAGGTCTAGGCCCTTGTAAACGGCGACAGACTCTCACCGGGAACACTTCGTGCGATAAGTAGCGCATTTCAGGAATGTGCTGCTGACATCAACCGCTGATAACGGCTCGGGCCAAGACCCTGAACAAGCAGCGGAGATCATCCGCATTTCTCGTCCGCCCCAACCGCTGGAGTGGGTGCTGAGCGCGTGCGTTTTTTTTGGTATTCACACCCTGCAGTGGCTAGCAAAAGACTGAGCTTATCTTATCTGGTTATCCGCTCCCATCAAAACTCGGGTTTTTCCAGTGAGCATGCAAAGGCTGGGCTTTCCAAGGTGGCGAGATGTGGGATCTGCTGCCAAAGTTGAAATGAATTCAAGACGAGAGACGAAAAAACTCGACACAAATTCTAGCGGCTAGACCCAACAGCACGACTGTCGGCGGCCCCGCACAGACCAGATTGTTCAACCTCGCTGTGTGATGGATGATCGGCCCGATGGATGTTGTGCCTGGACACGACGGGTGTGGAAACTGGAAACTGTGCACTGGATGGTCGACTGTCCTCTGAAGATCCCGAGTACCTGTAGATCCTGGAAACGGATAGACTTGAATTCTGCAGTGTCACTTGCGTGGTGGCAGATTCCCTCGCCGAGCGGGATTTGCATGCCAGACTTGAACGGAGTGCAGTATCCGAATAGAATGGGCAAATGCGAGAACCTCGCGCAGGAAAGCCGAGTGACTCGGTTTTTCATCCCATCACCGGGCTGAGAGATAGATTCGACAAGCACCAGTGTGGGAGCATGGCAATTTGTTGCTCTGCGCTGTCCCCGCCCGACCCATGGCGCAAAGTCATGTTCAGATGAGGATCAGTCTATGACGTGCCTCTCAGCGCGTTGGCAAGCAGCGAGTCACGCCAGCGCGTCATAGCCTCGCAAATGCGCGAAAATCGCAAAACAAGGCTTGTTCGGAACATTGCTTGCCGAGTAGGCCTGCGCGAGAGTGTGCTGCTGGGAGACGTGCTTAGCGCGTTTCGGCAGAGACGGCATGGCTCGGGGAGGGCCTGGGCACTCGAGGAGATCGTATCTCTCGCATTCGCACGCTGCCCGCTGAGACTAGTCAGCTTTACAGCACGTGTGATCGGGAAACCCGTTGATAAGTCCCCGTGCTCAGCGGCGGCACATATAGGCCGTCTCTCCGCTGCGGATGTTACCCGCGCTGGCAAAGATCCCGCAGAAGACACCCTCCCGCGATGGAGAAGAAAATCAGGTTCGAAAAAACGAGCCTCCTGCAATCACGGTCACCCGATCTCATAGGCACGGTCTCGTGACCTGCCGACTAAAGGTCCCTTGAGGGCAGCCACGGTATCTGCGAGTTTGGACCTTGGAACAGATGGACGAGAAAGAGTCACACACGGGCGCTACTCGTCGGATGCTAGCTATAAGCTTCTTGGGTGGTCCTCTGACTTGCTAAACCTGCGAAGCAGTGATACGTGAAACCACGCCTGTGCCGTGTGGTTTTAGCGCATGTCAGACAGTGAGAATCGGAGAGCAGGATTGGGCCAGGCATGGGGCTGAGCCGCTGAGGATGTCATCGATTATCGCGAGATGGCAGCAGGTCATCAGTCCCGAAACGGGTAAGCTGATCGGAAGGATCGAAGGCTGCAGGAGAAAATGCAGAACAGAGCCGATCCCTAAGCGAACCTTTTCGATATGGCGACGACGTCCAGGAGAGCGAGACAAGAAGAGCAATTCCGATGAGGAGAGCGCGACATTAAACATGGAATCTCTTGCCGAACAGTGCCGGGAACACAGGAACATCAGTCGATCACTTGCGAACACTATGCATTGGGCAGGAGGCAAGGGGAGCAGCCCTGATCCGTGCCAAGCGGCAGCATTGGCATCTGCAGACATCTGGACCCAATCCTCGGAGAGTCGACGTCGGCAACCAAGTCACTACCGACACCTGAACAGCTTCAGAGCTTCTCGGGGTTATGACGGTCCCGCACCCAAAGATGGATGGGTTCAGTGACCGCGTAATCACCACAACAGACGCGAAGAAAGCTCAGGCGTCGACAAGGGGAATGGAGCGGAACATAACGTGCGAATGTGGCAGAATCTATCGAGATTCCGGGCAAACAGGACCTGCGTTCCAGATCCCGGCATCGGATGTCGTTTCAGGTGACCCGTAAAGGAAAAGTTCCACTGTCGCCGGACGGTGTCACTGGACAGCCCACGTGCGAATCCTGGAGGCGTTCAGCCGCAACTCCAGAACAAGAACCCAGAACCAATCTAAGGACCCAGCATCAGTCTGCAGTCAGGATCACGGGAGCTTACGGCTGCGGGTCCTGTGGGAAGCGGCCGAAGACATATGAATTGGGAGGGCCTGCTTCATTCGATGTGGACGCCGAAGCTTCTACATTTAAACTGCTCAGAGATTTGAATACCCCGGAGACAGAACTTGCCACACGAGCCATTCAGTTGCATCCCCCAGGATCTGCGGGTTCTTTGCATTCATTCCAGAGAAAAGCGGTGCGTGTCAACCAGATACGGATCTGAAAACTCGGAGGGTCTAGCGGTTGATGGAGAGTGATAAGATGCGCTCACCGTCCCGAGTCGACAGTTGCATCTTGATTGCGAGTTCCAGTGAGCGAGAAGAATGGAGCACCCCAGAATTCGTTTCAAATTTGTTCATACTGGTGATTTTTTCTCTCTTGGTAGCCGCCAATGCGTTGGGAGAAAGTGAAAGACACCGTGGGCTGATTGAGAAGACCCGTGACGCAACATGATGTGACCATTGATGTCCCCGGTTTTTACCGGTCATCTCAGTACCCGGCCGCCAACACGCATCTATCATTCGCGAGGATGCTGTTCTCTCTTCAGCTCGCGCTATGTCGGTCAAATCGTTCGTCGCTCCTATCCACAGCACGCTTTCGACGTACAAGGAGGACCTCTTCAAGGGCAAGGTGCTCTTCTGTACGGGTGGAGGGTCCGGGATCTGTCGTGGAATGACTGAAGCTATGGTGTGGATGGTTCCTTCCACAAGCATACGATGACGAACATGAACATGGCCAAATATAGATGAGGCATGGTGCCGACGCCGCGATTGTAGGGCGCAAGTACGCGCAGTCGTCCTCTTTCAGGCGGGGTTCTGACGCCCTCTCGAAGGTTGGACCGTCTGAATCAAGCAGCCAAGGAGCTGTCCGCTAAGACCGGGCGCCAATGTCTACCCTGCCAGGCCGACGTGCGCAATCCGCAAACTCTACGGGATGCTGTTGCGAAGACAATCGAGAAGTATGGTCGCATCGACTTCGTTATTTGCGGTCCGTTTGTGATCTCAGTTCCACTCGTATGAGCTGACCCGTCCGTTCTCAGGCGCCGCAGGAAACTTCCTCGCCCCCATATCTGGGCTGTCCGAAAATGCATTCAGAACGGTCGTCGAGATCGACACAATTGGGACGTACAACACCATCAAAGCGACCATCGCTCAGCTGCGCCTAACAAAGGGCGCGTACATCCACGTTAGCGCTATGCTGCACTACAAGGGTGCGTCCACTCCCACTATTCGGGAGGCCTGATCTATACGCGGCCAAGGAACACCCTATCAAGCCCACGTTTCCGCCGCCAAGGCCGGTGTCGACGCGCTTTCTGCGGTCTTAGCTGTCGAAGAAGGACCTCACGGGGTGCGGTCCAATGTCATAGGACCGGGGCCCATTGCCGGGACGGAGGGAATGGATCGGCTCGAAGTGCGTGCTGCGATCGGCGCCCGTTTCGCTGCTTGCTAACGCGCCCTGGAAAGGGCAAAGGCGCCGGCTCGGTGGAGATGCTGTTCCCATTAGGACGCATGGGGGCGATTTCTGACATCGAGAATGCTACTGTGTATCTGTTTAGTGACGCGGCATCCTACGTCACGGGACAGATACTCTGCATAGAGGGCGGTACCGAGCATCTGCGTACACAGGTTGTGCCTTATCCCCTCAGCGTCCTCGAGCCTGAGAAGGTCCAGGCGATGATCAAGGGCAAGCTTTGAAATTCATGTCTGTTTGATGTTCTCGATGAACGCGCAGCTTCGTCTCAAGCAGAGAGTGAGCTCGAAAAAGTGGAAGCATGGGGAGGGCAAAGAAGTGGACTCGATGTATGCATCGGATACGCCAACGGTTTGGTCAAAACCATCTGCTATCCGGGCCAACCATTTTGCACACGAATACCGGATATAGCAGCCCGCCTGCTTGAATCTGGTTTAAACGTGGGAAGTGAGCACATGAGGAGGCGCCCTAACCCTGCTTCTCGCCTCCCGCTTGTGTTCCTCGAAGGTTACAACATGGAAAGACTTGGGCATCGAGCTGTGGACGGCGGCACACCGGATGTCTTTTCTTACCAACTCCCCGTACACGACGGCGCTACATTGTCCATGGGCTCTTTCTGACTTGGATTGCAGACCATGAGCGAGTCACTGGAAGAAGCCGACCGGTACGCACTTTGTGCGCTGTGTCTCGAAGGGGGCATTGAATGCCCTAGGCTCAATGAGCAGCATGCCTGTTTCCGAATGTACCTGGGTGACACCAAATTATCCTATGCTCCTCTGGAGCAACTCGAGCCTCGCAGAATCCTCGAACTTGGGTGAGTGCTATCGTCCTTGGGTTTACTCATGTGGGCTGAACAATCCAGATGCGGCACTGGCATCTGGTACACAGTCCAGTCTCCTTGCCACTTCTCAATGTAAAGAGTTGTCAGGGCTACTGAAGCGGCCAAGATGTTTCCAGACGCCCAAGTTGTGGCAGTTGATAGTGCGGCCATGTCTGAGCAGGCCCTGTGCGCTGCTTTCATGCGATCAGCCAGACGTCTTTTCTCATGGCATGCAGTCTGCAGCTTCCGGGGAACGTCTCGTTCCATCAAGCGTCCATCCTCGACTATCTGAACTCGAAACCGCCTTTATCCGATGTAGTGCATGCTAGGATGGTGCTCATGCATGTGCGTCTGTGCAGTATCGGCCGATGCCGAAAGCTGAGTCTCAGAATCCCAATCCTGAGGCCCTCATCGACGAAATGGCCGCCACAGTCAAACCCGGCGGATATCTACTCATCGAGGATCCGGATTTCAGCTCCTTGATCGCCACGGGAGGACCAAGCATGGTCCGCTTGATGGCCAAGTGGACCCAGATGTGGCGTGACAAGGGATGTGACGTCCAGATCGGCAAGAGGGAGGCGGATCTCCTTCGCTCAACGGGTGCCTTTGCGCAAGTCGGGTCAACGAGGATTCCCATGCCTCTGGGCGGGGACTCGTCCTCTGCGGGTGCTTCTTCCATCCGTATATGCGTTACTGTCCGGTTCTGATTCCGAGTGAGCACAGATCCCGCACTCAACCGATTGGGAGCAAGTTTTGCAGTACCTGTCAGGAATGCGGCGTTGACGCTAGTGCGAAAGTGGCAAGAACCGGGCTTGGCGGAAGAGACGGTCCGCGACATGGATATGGGAGGGGCGACAATGGACTTTTACTTTGCTTGGGCGCGCCGAGTTGACTAGTGCAAACACGAGGGTCTCTAGGTCTCGCTGCTGACATGAGCACTACGGCGAAGCTTCTCTTGTACATACAAGAGTGCAACACATTGGCCTACGCACTTCCAAGCCACTGTCACTCAGACGCTAGTCCAAAACCCAATAGCCGGGACCGACGAAGGCGGCTGCTGGACATCGGCACACACCCGACATGAATGCCTTTTTCGGCCACGAGAATGGACAATCTTATCAGCTGCGGGGATTGTGTGGATTCGAACCTAAACAAGAATGGCCGACCGGTGATAAGAAGACGCGTGGGGAGGGCAGAGGAAGGACACGGCGCGATGGATACTCCCGCTTCCCCTGCTGTCTCCGAGTACCCACTGCCCGTTCGTCAGAACTGCATCCCGTAGAGCTTGGGGTCTGACTGCTGGTTTGTCAGAACATGGCGGAATCAGCGACCGAATCCACCCGGTATATGCTGCGCGCGCGCTGCACTCGTCATGCACAGCTCACTGCTCACCAGCCTGGATGAACAGCATGAGGCGATCCAGGCATATCTCGGTCACGACAAATTGTGTTATGCTCCGCTGGAAGAACTAGTGCCTCGCAGAATCTTGGAACTTGGGTGAGCTTCTTCCCCGACGAGCCCCGCAATATGCTGACCTGTGCAGCTGCGGCACTGGGCTTTGGTGCGATTGCTATTTACGTCCGAGAGTTCCTTGACATCATGACCCCTCTTCAGGGCCACTCAAACAGCCAAGGTGTTTCGGAGCGCACACGTCGTCGCGGTCGATAGTTCGGCCATGAGCTCGCGGTCTCTGTGCGTCATTTCCGCCCTTTGATCCACACTCTGCTGACTGGGGTGTAAGCATGCGGCTTCCCGAGAATGTGTCGTTCCACCAAACTTCTATCCTCGACTATCTTGACACGCACCCTGATTCCTTCGACATTGTCCACGCCCGCTTGGTTCTCATGCATGTATGTCCCCCCGTTTTTACCGCTGCACCCCCCGCTTAGCCGCAGAATCCCAACCCTGAAGCTCTCATCAATCGAATAATCGGAGTGCTCAAGCCCGGAGGATACCTGCTGATCGAGGACCATGATTTCAATTCGCTGATTGAGACCGGAGGACCCAACACGGCGCGTATCTTCCTAAAATGGTGCGAGATATGGTCGATGCAGGGATGCGACCTGCAGATCGGTAGGAAGGAGGCCGACCTGCTTCGCTCAACGGGTGCATTTGCCGCTGTCGACCAGAAGGCAATTACCATGCCGCTCTCAGGAGCCTCGCGCGGTAGGTGAGTTTGGTTTACACCCAGTTCGGACTCACATTGGGGTGCAGATCCAGCACTCGATCGATTGGGAACCGAATTTGCAAAAACAGCAATCCAACTGGGCCTCGATACAGCGCGAAAGTGGCACTCACACGGATTCACGGAGGACCTGGTCCTTGCAATGGATAGGGAGCTGAAAGAAACTCCGCCATCTGGCCGTTCTGCCACTTTGAACTTTTATTTTACCTGGGGCCGCCGACTGTGATCGGACGGACACGCATCTTCTTATCTGTACATCGGAGGCTGCAAAATTTGATTTTCAAGTTTTGACACAGATGCTCATCAGGAGCGGGCATGAGGCGAAGATAATCATGGCTGACCATGTCAGGAGTGCGGTGGTCACACTGCCAATGGCCGCTTGCTCTGAGTTCCACCTTCCCATAATCATCTACCTTGCACTTCTTTCTGGTTGCCTTCTTGCTCCTAGCAACTGAGGCTCGGCTCGTTTTTCAGTAGTTTTCATTCTGTGGCAAAGCCATTAGCCATACTTAATATCAGCCTTTTAGCTGTGAATTATCGAGTAGCTGTGAGAGGCCGGTTCCCCCAAAAACAAAGTCCCAATGCATAGTAACTCCAAATCTAATCTTCTTATGCACCAGATACTGATTTGGGAAGTCAGACACTTGAAGAGCATTCACATGTGACCTTCGATATCAAGAATGATTTGCTATCACAGCACGTGTCCCGTAACACACCTGGCTAATTGCCATAATATACTTGGTATTACCGTCATACGCACTCGTCCGCCAATCACTTTCCGTTCATTCTCTCGAGAGCCAGATGCTGAGCAGGGATATCCCACAGGCAATGATCGACTGAGTGGCCACGCAACAACAGACTGAAAGATTTTCGCCCCAGTGATAGCCATGTCGTAGGGTCAAGCATTGGGTAATACAAGCGCGGCAACAATTCCGACATTGCATGCGGTGGGTTCCGGCTCTTGCGCTCCCAATCTTACATCGTACACATGGGGGTTGGGCATGTATCTTCGGCGATTCGGTCACAGGATCCCAGACCCGCCGACTCTCGTCCGAAATCAACCGGTGCCGACGAAAGCTACAGCTGGGCATCGGAACACACCCGACATGAATGCCTTCTACGGCTGCTAAAATGGACAAGCTTGCCGGCTGTGGGGATTGCGTGGGTTCCAACCTAAACAAGAATAGTCGACTGGCGATAAAAAGGGGTGCAGGGAGAACAGAGGAAGGCGCAGCACAATGGATACCCCGGCTTCCCCTGCTGTCCCCGGTTACCTACTCCCCGTGCGTCAGAAATGCTGTGAATCCCTCAGAGCTCGGTTCTGACCGCTGGTTTGGCAGAACATGGCGGAATCGGCGACTGAAGCCACCCGGTATATCCTGCGTGCGTTGCACGAGTCATGCATAGCTTACTAGTCAGCAGCCTGGATGAGCAGCATGAGGCGATCCAGGCACATCTCGGTCACGACAAATTGTGCTATGCTCCACTGGAAGAACTGGAGCCCCGCAGAATCTTGGAACTTGGGTGAGCTTCCCCCTCACGAACCCCGCACTATGCTGACCCGTGCAGCTGCGGCACTGGCCTTTGGTACGATTGCCATTGACGTTCGAGTGTCCTTCGGTATCATGATTCGTCAGGGCCGCCCAAGCAGCCCAGATGTTTCCTGACGCACATGTCGTCGCAGTCGATAGTTCCGCCATGAGCTCACGGTCTCTGTGCGTCATTTCCACATAACGAGTGAGGCGGCAGCTCTGATGACTGGGTGTAGCATGCGTCTTCCCGAGAACGCGTCATTCTACCAAACTTCTATCCTCGACTATCTCGACACGCAGCCGGAATCCTTCGACATTGTCCACGCCCGTTTCGTTCTCATGCATGTATGTCCCCGCCGTTTTTACCGCTGCACCCGCCGCTCAGCCGCAGAATCCCAACCCTGAAGCTCTCATCAATCGAACAATCGGAGTGCTCAAGCCCGGAGGATACCTGCTGATCGAGGACTACGATTTCAACTCCCTGATTGAGACCGGAGGACCCAGCACGGCACGTATCTTCCTAAAATGGTGCGAGATATGGTCTATGCAGGGATACGACCTGCAGATCGGTAGGAAGGAGGCCGATCTGCTCCGCTCAACGGGTGCATTTGCCACTGTCGACCAGAAGGTAATTTCCACGCCTCTCTTAGGAGGTTCGTGCGGCGGTGCGTGCGTTTGGTTTCCACTCTTTTTGTTCTCACATTGGGGTGCAGATCCAACCCCTGATCGATTGGGAACCGAATTTGCAAGAACAGCAATCCCACTGGGCTTCCATACAGCGCGAAAGTGGCGTTCGCACGGTTTCACGGAGGACCTGGTCCTTGCGATGGATAGGGAGCTGAAAGAAACTCCGCCATCTGGCTGTTCTGCCATTTTGAATTATCACTCTACTTGGGGCCGCCGACTTTGACCAAACAGCCATCTTTGTTATCTGGACAGTCAACAGTCGTTGGCATTAAATTTGTTGTATGTCATGGTCTTAGTCTTGAGACAGTGCATATATGTCGGCGACTCATGGCTACAGTCACACTGCGGCCACTGATGCCCTTCTTGCTCTACATCTTCAGACAGGCATCTGCGGCACGCTTGTCTATGTATTCCCAACTGACCGGAGTTTGATTTCATTTGGCATCAACCAGCCATTCAACCTTCGTTCTCCTCGGCACACCGTCTCGGCTGAGTTACCGCTGTTGACCTTGACCGGGATTGTACCGGGCTGAAAGGCTTTGGCTGGCACCTTTCGCCCTCGACCTTACATCCGAGCATTCATATTTAGAGTGATAAGTCGACACAGGAGCCGACTGCCTAGCCACGAATGCTTCTACTGCACTCATGCAAGAGCTGTTCTCTTACCCGTTGCCCAGATCCCTCCCAGCATGTATTCGACCAAGAAAAAGAACGTGGTGGAGTTAGCAGATTAATATTCTGGGTATATGCCACCTGTACTCTGCCAGTGGGCTTACTCGAGCGTAGTTTAAGCTCTATGGGTGCACGTGGCACACAGCTGTTTGCGTGTGCCTCTGAATTCAAGCCCATAGAACCCCAACGCTGAACTCTTGATCAGGGCAATAGCCCAAGCGGGGCGGGGAAGGCGGATTCCGTTTAATTGATGACCTCGGTCTAGATTCTCTGATAACTACCGGCGGATCCCGCGAGAGTGGTCTGAATTGTGGCGGATCCAGGAATGCGATCTCGAAATCGGCAGGAAAGAGGCTCACATCCTGTCCTCGACTGGTCTATTTGCGTCCGTCTGAGAGTCCAAGCGGGTCTACACTTCACTTTCTGAAAATTCGAGTGGCGAGCGCTTTCGATTTTCCTGGAGGTTAATCGCGACTTATAGCAACCGCATAAGAACTCGATATGCTCATGGTGGCGTTACATCCAAATTACCATCGGCGACGGACCGCGCATCAAATCAGTGGAATGATCAGGCGATGCTTCCACTGCCACGGCCCACCAAAAGTCCTGGCTGTGATGTGACAAGTGCGCACTGTTCACCTTTTCTTGTAACGAATGCCTGAACGTTCGCGTTCAGACCGCTCTCCGCCCGCTCTCATGCAAGACAAAGACTGAAGCAGGCACGTTGCGGATGAGGATGATATCAGACTGAAAGGTATCGACGTCAGTATACTGCATATATCGACACTCGAGCGTCAGCGGCAGCACTGCTGCGATCCCATGCGGCTCATTCTCACCCTCCGTTTCCCCGACTGCAGCCAGGTGCAAAGCTGTCTGTTTCTCGGCGATTCGATACCACACTCCAAGACTCGCCGACTCCGAAATCGTCCCTCAAACACCGCCCCACTGCAGGCTTTGAGCGGGTGTGATCTCGCTGCTTTTCAATTATAACACACAGAACAGCCCTCGTGGGGAAATGCCTCCGGCGTGTTTCCCCGGTCTCGAGGACGCTCTATCCGAGATTTTTCCGGGGTGAGCTGTGGTCTCGAGGTTCGCGCTTCGGTTGTTATGTCGCCCTATAAAAGATGCAGGCGTGTGGGGGTTCTTGACCGTCACCCGGCAACATGAAGTTCCTCTCCCCGCTCTGGACGTCTCTGGCGCTTTTTGCCGCGACTCAGGCGAAAATCTTGTTCGCGGGAGTGAACGAGGTACGTATGACTGGACCGTGCGCCTTCTTCTGTCCATGTTGACCAATCTTTTTCCTGGCAGTCTGGTGGAGAATTCGGTGTGTTTGGAACAAAGGGCCAGGGCCTCCCCGGACGCTTTGGAGTCGACTATGCTTTCATCAACAAGGCGAGAGATCAGCGGTCCTCCAACCGTCAGGTGACTGACAGGGATTTCCAGAGCACGATTGATATCTTCGTCGATCAAGAAAAGATCAACTTCTTCCGGGTTTGCTTCCTCATGGAGCGCATGGCACCCCTGGAGTACGGTCTGGGGAGCAAATTCAACGAAACTGTGCGTGCCTTTCTCTGCCACGCTAAGGTCCAAACGGCTCAAAAGAACGCTCAAGTATTTCGCCGAATACGCCGATGCGGTGAACTACATCACGAACATCAAAGGCGCCTATGTTCTCATCGACCCGCACAACTACATGCGCTACAAGTACGTGATGCCATCTGTGTTCTGATCAAGGACAACACTGATGCTTCCACAAGTGACCCTTCGAGTCAGCCCTTCTCTGGCAGCGTCAGTCACGACTGATTCCTTGGCCTCTGCATCCCAAACTTATGCGATAAACAGGTGATTGGCAATGTCTCGGACCCCACCGCGGCAACGACTGCCCAGTTCAAATCGTTCTGGCACGAATTGGCGCGTCGATTCGTGTTCAACCCCAAGGTCGTCTTCGGCATCAACAACGAGCCACACGATATGGTCAGTCCAAGCACACTCTTCTCTAACAGATCAAAGAACCGCTTGATCTCATCACCTTTCAGCCCAATCAGCTGTTGCTGGAGAACAACCAGGCCGCGATCAACGGCATCCGGTCTGCAGGCGCCTTGCAGCTTATTCTCGCACCTGGAAACGGCTTCACTGGCGGCCACTCCTGGAACCAGAGCACTGGCGGCAACACCGAGCCGTCTAGCGCATTCATGAACAAGTTGCACGACCCGATCTTTAACTTGGCCATCGATATACATGAGGTTCGATTTCCATGTCTTGTCGCACGCCGCGGAAATTCACTGATCCGTTGTCTAGTATCTGGGTTCGTATCTTCGGCAGCTATTTTCAGCTCTGGTTTGACGGGATAGGACAGATATCGATTTCTCTGGTGGACACGCAGAGTGCACTCAGCCGGGTATGTTCTAACGTGAAACTAATATTTTCGGGAATCTCATACCCGGATCAGGCCCTTCGAACCTTGCTGGCGTCACTGCGTGGTTGAAGGAGAACAAGCTCAAGGCCATTCTCAGTGAGTTTGGCGGAGGAAACAACCAAAACTGCTTCAACGTATGCGATTTCCGTCCGACTCGTATGTAGGTATTCTGACAAATACCTCCTTAGTACGTGACGGAGCTGGTGCAATACCTGAACAACAATCCCGAATGGATCGGGTGGTCTGCGTGGGCCGCGGGTCCTTTGTGGGGGACGAGCACACCCTGCTGTGGAGCCGACACGGGAAGTCTCGAGCCCGGTCAGCGGAATGACCTCGGACAACCCGAGTACGTGACTCGCAGTCGTTTTTGGACGCTGACGCTGACGCTTCTAACTAGCGCCTTCACGACGGTCTGGGCACAATCGATTCGTCCCAACATCCCCAAAAGTGCGTCATTCTGAAAGTTCCTCCAGCCAATTATCTCACTGTCTCGTACCAGATTTGAAAAAGTTTGGGATCTCGGGCTTATTTTGATTTACGCTATGTACAGCCCCTGATTTGTGCTCCGTAATACATTACCGGTCACTAGTCCGAGGAGCATGCGTGTGAGCCTGCACTCAGCCCTTCCGCAAGCACCGGCCGTCAGGACTATAGGGACACGGAACTTGAAGTCGGACAGGGAGTAGGAGTCGGACCGAAACCTTGTGATCCCCGCGAGAGGCAACACCGCCGTCGCAATCGGGCGGGGGCACTTCACGATGGCTCAAATTGACCCCTTCCGTGACGAACAAGTGCCACAGACACGGACACGCATCTCACGGGCGTGAAGTTCCTGACGGGAAACATATCGACTATTCGGGCTCAGGGCAACCATTCGTGTGGGACCGAGTTTGGCGGCTGATCATGAACTGTCAATAATCTGGCCGCGTGATGTGGGGTAAAAATGCAAATGGCGATGGGATCTTTGTCATTCCAAAAATATTTTTATCACAACCAGATTCTCTTCTTCTCCTTCTCTGTTGCCTGCGGCCGGGGATGGGCTGCAAATGCAGAAGGGGAAGGATCAGAGACGCTGAACCGAGTTGTCTGCGGGCATGCCAGTAAATTAGTTCAAGCTTTCCGCAGGAACCGATGGTTGACAGCATTACGCAAGCAGCTATTCGGAGATCACATCGTGTCATGCGCCTATTATCCGCCTTGGCCCCTTCTTAATCCTTCCCCACGCCACCCAGGATTCTCGCATCCCGTCGCTCTTTCTCTTCGTACCACCACCCAGTCCATTTGACACCCAGAGAACATGAGCGACATCGAGAAGGGCACCCACACGGACGGCGGCCACCAATACGCCCCCGCACCCCGCCCGACGACCATCGCCAACCCGGGCGCCCTCGGTCTCTTCTCCTTCGCCTCGACGACGTTCATCCTCAGCTTCTACAACGTCTCCGTCGATGGGATCGCGACCCCTAATGTGGTCGTTGGAATGGCGCTGTTCTGCGGCGGCCTTGCCCAGCTGCTGGCAGGGATGTGGGAGTTCCCTCGCGGGAATGCCTTCGGAGGCACCGGTACGCGTTGCTAGCTTCTGACACGTCCACATGGGATGGCTTATCGTCATCGTCGCAGCCTTCACCTCGTATGGCGCGTTCTGGCTGTCCTTCGGGACGATCTTCATCCCCGGCAGCGGCATCCTTTCCTCCTACGGCACCAACACCAGCGAGCTCGAGAAAGCGCTCGGCATCTACCTCTTCTCGTGGTTCATCGTCACCTTCCTATTCCTGTGCGTCCCTTTTTCCCGGCTAATTTTTCTTCCCCCCGTTTGTCCGGCGGGGTAACCCCACATATTTTTGTCATGGTTGGGGGTGAGAGTCTCTTGCCCCATCTGCCTAGTCTGTGAGAGCCGGCGCTCCCGTTCCTTGGCGGGCGCTCCGTCTCACGGCTGGCGCGGTGGCACTACGTGAAACTGATGCGCGCCGACCGGGCCGGCCGCTCAGTGATCGTTACAGTTTCGCATATTCTTGCCAATCGGATGACACGGAGCTGACGCGGACATCTTTCTTCGTTTCTTTTCAGGATCGTCGCGCTGCGCAAGTCGGTCTCGTTCATCGCCCTCTTCGGCGCGCTGTCGATCACGTTCCTGCTCCTCGGCGTCGGGAAGTTCGTGACCAACCCGCAGATCACGAAAGCTGGCGGTGCCATGGGGATCATCACGGCGTTCATTGCGTACTACATCGGCCTCGCGGATTTGCTGGCGGCGGAGAAGGCAGCTCTGGTCGCGCTGCCTCTGGGTGGATTCAAGCATGACTAATCTGATATGATATGATTCGATTTGATGTGATCTGATGGGTGCAGTTATTACTTACTTACGCGTGTCTTCCAAGGCCCTGTATTTGTTGTTGGTCTCTTAGCTTATCTTCTAGTTGTGAATCATGCCAGTGTTATCCTTGCCATGATTCATGTGCTGTTTCGTAACGTGAGCGTGTCACCATAGATTTGGCTCTGGTTGTCAAGTCCATGGATGCCTGCATTGCGGCCCTCCGGCGGGAGCTCCGGCGCCGCCCCCCAGTACCGCTGATTCCCGGGCGGGCTGCCGACTGCTGTTGCCATCACCCGAATCTTCTCTCTCGTCACGACTTCGTAGTTGCCGCGGCCCTCTTATCATCATCAACGAGTCTCACAGCTCTCTCCTGACCTACAATGTTGCTCGCGCCGCTGCTCGCAGCACTACTGCCCCGCGTGCTCGCGCATGGCGCAGACAAATGCGTGCACCAGCTCGACCCGGGATCCGAGTTCGCTGCTGCCCCCTTGCTTTCCGGACCGTCGCAGGTCCCCTTTGCTGATGTTCCGAGCCCACCGCTCGAAGTTCTGCCTCTGGTGGTGTCGGGTCCGATCTCCAACCGCGTCGATCTGGTGTTCTTCTCTGATGGATGTATGTGGCACAATCAGATCTCCACGACAAGACCCGTCCTTGTGTAACATCTTCGCGCATCTAGATTTGCTGGAGGAACGCGACAAATTCCTCGCAGACGCAGCGCGCCTGGCGGACGACATTTCTGGAAACCAGACGTTCAATACAGTCAAGCCGCTGATGAATTTCTGGGCCGCTTTCACACCCAGCGCCGAGGCGAGCATGGATTGCTGCTGTCAAGTTGAATCGATCGAGATGTTGACGGGCATTCTTTCGTACAGAGCGGTGTGGGCGTGGGGGGTGTTCCGAAAGAGTGTGTTTGTTCGTTCCTTTCAGTTGACGAGGCTGATTGATGCCATGTGACTTCTCCTAGCACGGTCTACGGTTTGTATCGACCTGGAACCGAGCTTCGAGGCGTTTACTACGCCAAACCCGACGTCGCTGCTGCGGCATGCGCGTCTCTCGGTGAGCAATGCGACTATCCGATTCTCGTGGGTGCGTGGATTACCCCCATTACGCTGCCCGGAACATCTTGCTGAGTCTGATGCAGGAAACGACCCTCTTTACGGAGGTAAGAAATTGCTTTCTGTCCAGGTCGATGCTTGCAACCTTCTCAATCAGGTCTCGGTGGGCGATTCACGTGTGTATTTTCTACCTTCTTGTTGGCATATCTGACTGAATCGAACAGCGTCATCACACCCTCACTGGCCAATGGCGCTCTCGTTCTGCGCCACGAGCTGGGACACTCGATCATCAACGTCGGCGAAGAGTACGACGGCGGGTGGGGCTACTTCGGGCCCAACGCAGCCGCCGACGAGAGTGTCGTTCCGTGGTCCCACTGGCTGTCGGCCTCCCCGCGAGTCGAGCGCAGTGTGATGCCGATGCAAGCCTATCCCTGGTCGCTCCTGAACGTCAGCGAGCCTTGGTCCATCACATTTCCTTCTTCGGGCGCCTACTCGCGCCACCTTGTGCGATTTTCGCTCTCGGGGCTCCTCGCGGCCAGCGATCTGCGCGTGACACTGGACGGACAGGATCTGGGGTGGGAGCCGCACCCCGGGGTTGGCGTCGATCGCTGGCACTTTGACGTGTATCGCGAGGGGGGGTTGAGTGGGGGTTTGCACACGGTCTCGTTCGAGCTTTTAAATGAAGATCGGGTCCCCGATGCGCAGCTGTGCAGCACCGAGGTGCTCGAGTTTGGTGACGACACCGAGTGAGTGGGTCCCAGCCGAAATAATGGGGAGCGACATGATGATCATCGTGACAGATTCAATGCCACCGCAGGGCATTATTCTCTGTACCCGACTTTTTCGTTGGACAACGCCACCACCTACCGCCCAACAAACGAGGACTGTCTGATGCGCGTCGTGACCACCCCCAACTTCTGCAAGGCCTGTCTGGAGGGTCTCTGGATAAGTCTGCTCGGGACAGTTTCCTTGATCGACAGTTTGAAAGAGACAAGTTGCGATGCCAAATCTGCGACGTCGACCCTCGAGCTTCATTTGGTTCCGGTTGCCGAATTCCGGGCCAGCCTGGTCTCCGGGCTTGATGAAAGTTATACCATCACGTGGTCGCGAGACGGCGACGCTTTGCCCGAACTGGCCAATCAGACGTCTGTCAGCGTTGGCCCCGGTGTTTACTCTGTGGACGTCCAACTGTTCACAAATGAAGTTCGCTCCGATCCTCATGGCCGCTTGACCGCCCGCGCGGAGTATACAGTGCTCGAAAACTGCGCCGGCGTGATTTAGCTACGTGTGATGTGTAATTGGCATTTTCAAAATACATACGGAACCAGACGATAAGGCACACGCCCAACCCAATCCTCCCATTCCTTTCCGAACCTCTCTTTCATCATCCTGTCCTCCTTCCTGATCCGAGAGCCCAGGCCAACAGCGGCGAGCGTCAGTGCAACCGCCCAAATCGCAGATATCTTCGGCTCCCAGGCCTCGCCGGGCCGCACGAGCCCGGAGCAGGCCACGAGCCACGACCCGGGCACGAACACACACAAAGCGGCGCCGATGCCAGAGAACAGCGCGCCCAGATAGCTCGGGTGTCGGACCAGCCCGTACGCGCCGTCCGTGACTAGCTGTTGATCGGGGCGCGTGCTCAGTTCGAAGGTGAAGTGTTTCTGGAGACGAGAGTAGCAGTGCAGGCGGATGGAGGTGCCCACGATGCTCGAAATAAACCCGGCGAGGAATGTCGGTGTAAGCGTCAGGTGTGCTGCGCCGTTATTTGGGTCCAACGCCTGCGAGATCGTCTCTAAATGAGGGAAGTGTTGCGCGAGGATGGTCACGCATTCGGCAATCCCTAGGCCCCAAAAGACTCCCTGGAGGGAGTTTCGTGAGTAATGCGCATTCTGGGACAGAGAAACACAGGTACATGAACAACGAGATGTCCAAAGCGACCCACCTTGAGAAGGACCGGGGCCCATTTTGGCGCGATCCGCTCCAGCCCGCTTGGCTTCAGCTGACGCTCTGTTGGTGCCGCCGGGTTCGGAGAAGTCATCGTTGTGTGAACGGCGATGCTGCCGAGCATCAAGAGCGGTACTTTGAGCAGCGACATGATGGCGGATGGTAAGCCGAGAGATCATGTTTGGCGCGATCATGATGCATCTGTCAGATGATCGGGCATACCGGCCATGTTGAGTTTGGATCCGACGAGCAACAAAAGGAGGCAGAAGACAGGTAGGAGTCACAATAAGACCGCCTGGGTCGTGCAGGACAGCGCCAGATCTGTCACGAAGACTACAATCTGCCCAGCCGAGTGCATTACACTGAGTGGGACCACATCAGTCTACTGGCAGCATGGAAACCCAACAGTAATCGCAGCCCCGTCCACGTGAGGCTGGAGCGACGCAAGCACAAACTCGACTGCATGTACGCCGCTGGATGCTCCCACATTCCAGCACGAGAGAGACAGGGCAGTCAATCACAGGGGTCGGCGCCGATCCCTGAGCTAACCACTGCGGCTGTGTATACTCAATGCTCATTCCCGTCGTTGTGGAAGTACCGAATATGGTGCTTGCCCCAGCCAGCCATTTAGGTACCCGGAAGAGCCTGAACGAGCGCTGGAAAAAGGTCGTATTTTCATTTTCTATTTCCGAAGCAAAACGAGATCAATTCATGCTTGAACAAGATTTCAGAAAGAAAAGTCTTTTTCTCAGAATCTTTGTCGGGAGAAATGAACGCTTGTCTCTGCGAAAGTAGACATTGGCAAGAGACATGTTTCTGTTTCGATGTTCTTTTTCCTTTTGTGAGAGTCCAATCCGAAAACGCAATCTACTCGTTATGGAGATAGAGACGTCTATTCCTCGTACAAATTGTTTGGTAAATTGACGTCGATTTTAGTATCGTTTTGCTTTCTACAGATACAATACTGGAGATTGATTTATGATTTCTGTGAAAAAAAGAAGATAAATGGCCCACTACAGTGCAATGCTATCCTTCAGTACACTTGATCCAGTTGAAAGACTCCTGTAAATATGAGCCACATTTCAACATGTTAGCACGTGACGACAGGTATCAAGGATGCACCATCATGCATCAGATCTGATCCGAGTCTGCCCTGGCGCTCACACGCGGCCTCGACCGTACACTCTCTCAGTCTGCTCCCGGTCTCCGACGGATCTCAGTCATGGACCTAGTGTCCACGAAGCACCGATCAAACATCTCAACCGATTCGTCTCCACTTGAATCCACAAACGCTCGCCTCGTCCTGGAGCGAAGTCGAGTTGGTGGGCTCGGTGGCCATGCCAATGCGTGAAAGCAGGCGTGGATTCTGGGAAGGTCATTCGAGGGAATTCGGGCTGCCCGACAACAGAGAAATTGCTCATCCCTCGTTTGTCATCGCTATCGATCCGCTTTTGCCGAAGTCTGGCGCAGCCATGGACTCGTGGTCAGGACTCCCCTACGCCTTCGGCGAGATGCCTCCACGCGGAACAAGTGCCCGAGGCGCTCATTCTCGTCAGCACGGAGCCAACTGCTGTAGTCCCCGCGCGGCGAATTCTCAGAGTCCTTGTTTGCCGCCTCCCTGTCAGTTCGGTTGACTGCAATCTGACGTGTTTTTGTATAGCAGCCGCTGTAGTGCCTTGCCCTGATGCTTCAACTCCCGAACGAGCTCATCCTCCTCATCCTCTCTTTTTTGGACGCCGAGTCACTATGGATCCTTCTGGGTGTCTGCACTCCACTGCACCGGCTGTGCCTGATTCGTCTCAAAGAAGTATACCATGTCAAGCCTTCGGAACTCGAGTCGGGCCACTTCGTCCTGAACTACGCTAGCGAATTCCGGCGTCTCTTCCTCATCTCGCGGGCACAGCCTGGCTGCATCCGCAGGATCACCGTCGTGTGCGGAGACCCCAATGTGCAATGGCTCGTTTCTGGGCTGGCCGTTCTCCCCAGTCCTCCAACGGAGCTAGTGCGGGACAGGTGCTCCTACGAATACGTGTCCCCCATGGCGCAGCTGGTTTCCGTGTGCGCCGGCGGCGACGCGAAGATGCTTGTCGTCATGTGCAATGGGACGCTGGCGGTGTCCCGAGCACGGCAGTTGCAGGCATCTGGGTTCACCTGGCCCTGGCCGTGGTCTCGCAAAGACGGACACGCGAGCATGCGAGATCGGCTCGCCGGTGTCTTCGAGGGAGAGGGCGGTTGGCTCCGGGGGGTGCACAACCTCAGCGTCGACGGGGAAGACTTTGCGTTTGTGTCGATCCCGGGCCACGACACGACTGTGTTATTGCCAAGACTGCCCAGTCTCACGGCGGACCAGTATTCCGCGGTGCTCCGAGCGCTGTACATCAACTGCCTCACCTCCACGCTCTGCATCGCGGCTCACGCTGGATTGAGGCTCGCAGACGTCATCGCCGTCATTGGCAACAGCGCATCATTGCTGACTCTGCGGCTGCATGATCATGCGTTGGATCCACACTCGTTGGAAGTCCCTTGCGCACCAATCCTCGGGCGGGTACTCTACATCGAGGCACCACCGCTCTATCTTCCTTATATTCTCGCCGTTTTCCCGTGTGGACAGATATTGCAATTCTAGTGTACTCCGATGCAACTCAAATGGTCTTGTCTCCCGCCTGCTTAACATACCACTCGTCGTTGGCACCACCTTCAGCGCACGCGATGACCGGGGTACCGTTGCTGGCGTTGCCTTTCTCGAACTGCACCGTCCGCTCCAGCGACTCGAAAAGCCGGATTCTGACCCGCCCCGTGTATTTGCCTTGCGCCAGCACCGGATCGAAGACCACAAAAGTCGGGCTCATGCTCATTCCCATATAAGACCCCCCTTCGTGCCGTTCCTTGGAGATGCACAGAAAGTAGGAGGAGGCGATGTGCCGGATGACGAATGCGCGTGGTCCCGCCGGTCTGATCTCGAACTGTCGGCCCGCTCAGTCATGAATATTGAATCGTGTGCTCGCTGCAGGTGCACGAACGGTTCAACTCACATGTTGATTGGCATTACTTACGCCCAAGTCGTGCTGATGGAGCATCTGGCATCCCTTGCCGCCGGCCCAATCGAAGTCGATGCATTTCTTCGTCCGCTCCGAGCGGAAGCGTACGGGCAGTCCGGACACAAATGGACACTAACCGACCCACTTGTCGTCCATGCCCGTGGAGAGACGAGTCCTGTAGAGTATGATACATGACGATGTTCAGTATTTCGAAAGATTTGTGCAATCACTTTTCGACAGTTTGGCCTGCAGGACCAGGCTCGATGCACTGGATCCTAGTCTCCAAATCTTTCACTTGATGTTTCACCTGGCTCAATTCGTCTTTGGTCTCTGCGTGCTTGATCTTGAGGTCTTCGTGCATCGTCTTCAAACGCTCATGGGCATCGACTGGTATTGGTCTGCTCAGTGTAAGAGTCGAGTGAGACATGGAAAAGTTACCCAGTTCGGGAAAGCTCATGGTCGCTTGGTGGGTCATGACGGTGGGAGAGGTGGAGAGACGGTGGGGCAAAAACGAAGCTTCATGGGGTTTTTATGTCGAACCGGATTAGCGCTCATACACGAATCCAGTAAGGTGGTAGGCGCCGGCTTACACTTTTGTAACACGCTTCAAATTAAGGTTCTTCTCTGATCGTTCTCTCTTGCTTCGCCTCTGGGGGCTTCAGGTTTTTTCTTCAGAATCTTTTCTGTACTCGCTAGTCGACTTCTGCAAGCGTGGAAGGGGCGAGTCTCCATCTTCAACTTCACAGAGACTGGCATTACTTCTTCCTCGCTCTTGATCTCAGCCCCGGTAACGTCTTCTTCCTAAACAGAAGCATCCTGAACACAAATGTGAGGCATCAGGGTGCGACAGAAACATGGCAGGTACCATTACATTATTCCATCGGACTCCGTCTCCTCTGCCTTCGCTCCGATTCCAAGAGACTGGATCGTAGCTGCTCATTTCCCTCTGACTCCTCCACAGCCCAGATCCATGCAATCTTCGTACACAGTCTGCAGTCTCTGGCCTGCCCTTATTGACACGTCAGCAGATAGCACCCTTGTTCGATTATGGCCATGCTCGACATGAGTGGATATGTTCTGGCAGATTCGTTTTCTTCGGCCTCTATAATATGAATGCACGTCGTTCCTTGCATTCCCGCTGCATATGTGTTACAAGGTGTCCATGCCGGAATCCACAGATAGCGCATTCGCTCGTGTCCTGTACCCAGTTTTCCTCGACATCGTGGCTGCACTCCAAGATCCGAGGCATGTAGTCACAGTGCAAAGCATTTGGTGGATTGTGATGCCAAACTGGTCATCTCTGCGGGACTCGCCTTTCCATTTGCGTGGAGAGGGCGGCGAAGATTGACAGTCGGGCAGGGTCTGTAGGTCCTATTGACGCAAGTACAGACAGAACATCGTCGACCTTCCAATGCCGATTCAATGCTTGGTCGACGAACTTTTTGAAGTCGACGGCAAACGAATCTTGCTAGATGCAGAAGTATACGTGAACGCGAGTCACTTGTAAGTGAGCTGTGGGCGCACCGTATCGCATACGAACGCCAACTCAACGCCAGCTCTACTCGCCGCACACCATTGCACCACGCTCTTGATTTCCTTGTTTCCGCCGAATGCGCCACATCCCCAATGCCCGGTGACAACCTCCTCGTAAGAATCGGACGCAAAGGCCGTTAGGGCCTTGTTGAGTTCCCGATCGATGTGCCCAGGCAACAGATCCGGCGTGCATGACGTCGAGTCGTATCCATCCAGCTCCAACGCATCCATGAACAGCATCACCCTCTGACTCCAATCGTGCTCATAAGCCGGCACAATGCGGTGCAAAACCGCAGCACGGCCGTAGCCGACCATCTCGACTACAGGCGCGCATCCACGAACGACCAGGACCTTGGTGTCTGATAGCGGCGGGGTGACCAGTTTAGCGGGCAGAGCCGTTGGGGTGCAACCGACTTGCATCTCCTCCTGCGAGGCGGTGCGCCCGAATCCAATGTGCGAATTGGCGGAGATGACGCATGCGCCGCGTGGGATACCCATGAGTGTTGTCGAGGTGGTCGGTGCGTCGAGGGGTGCGATTCGTATCGGTCTGAACTCAACGCTGGCCTGCGCCATGCTCTGGGACGGTGGGCCCGTGCACAAGGTCAACGAGACATCTCCAGCCATATCACTCCCCGCAATCCGGTCGAAGTAGGTGAAGAGCGCAGTGAGATACGCTTCTACTGCATGTGGATGAGGCTGGTCGTCGTGGAACCAAATGGACAGATCCTGCGAGTCGTCTGGTGCTTGGTGTGCGAATTCAGGGAGGGTGCAAAGAAATTGGTGGACGACGAGGCACGCGATTTGTCGTGCGCTGAACGCCACGCAAGGGTTCTCGGAGGACAGAGGAGCGAGTGTGCCGTCTGGGAAAAGAGCCGACATCTCCAGTGCCAGATCGACACAGCGGGCCCATGTCCGCCTGAAGAATCGCTCATTGTCCCATCGTTCGTCCAGGAAACGGCGCAGAAAGCCGTAGGAAGGAGCCGACTTCACTCTCATTGTAATCGCGATGGATTCAAGAGCTTCGATGAGCTGGGAGGTCGACTGCGCTGGCGGGAGGATGATCTTCGGCAAGAGTGACCAAAACAGCACAAGGTCGGTATCTGCATCGAGGAGACTGAAATTGTCCGAGACGAGCACCCCAGGGACCTCCAATTATTACGTAAAATGGCTTCGAGGCCCCCTCCGGAGGCCATCAAACCACCCCCTACCCCCCCTGATCGGAGGCCATCCTGGAGGCGCCTTCCTAATTGGTACTCTGCCCAGCCATTCATCCACAGCCAGCATGGTAGGCTAGGCATTGACCCGAGTGTTTATATATGCTGTAGTAGTCAGTATAAAGCCTCAGACAATGTCTTAGCTCACAAAAGCTTGTATTTCTTGCTTGCAAATGGTAGACCACTGGGCGCACAAAATTCGGGATTTGAGCACATGAGCACTCCTCAGCACCTAAGGAACATCCGCCGCGGAGGGTACCCCCCCCTGTTAGGGGTCAAAATTCGACTGATTTGGGTACCTAACAGGGGGGTACCCTCCGCACTTTTGGCCATCCTCCGCACCAAAACCTCCGCAAATGGGTGCCAAGCATCCGCAACAAGCCCTGTAACCAGCTGCGGATCCATCCGCTCCTGGCTCTCCCCGTGATCGTTGTGATGCCATCATGCAGGCCATCCACGGACCATGTCATGTGACTGTTCTCCAGTGCGGAACCCTCCGCATTTCTTGCTCTTTTATTTTTTCAGTTCTAGCCTGTATATATTGCTTCACTGTGGACTTGAGCCTTCTGTAGCCAAAGTATGCAAGTGCTTTTGACTCCCAAATGATTATAGCTGCTTCAAAGACCTCTATGTGCAGCAAACAAAGAGTGTTAGTTGGGCCAATTCAGTGCTTGGGCTGTGCGGATGCTCTGCATTGTTTCTGGATTGCTAAATTGGTTGCTCAGAACCTTAATGCGTAGGATAAACATAGAACGCAAGCTTCTCAGATGCTGCCAGGTTCCTTAGAACCCAGGTAGGCCTCTCCAGCACCCACAGCAGCTGAAACGTGCGCCATGCGGATGCATCCGCCACCTGCTGTCCAGGGCCAGATTGGGGCAGGCCCTGTTCAGTACAGGCTCTGCAGACAATTCCACTTGCACAGCTTCGCCTGCCATGATCAGTGCATGCAGCCAGGATCCTCCTGCATTGACAGCATGCTGTGCAGATGCATCCGCCCCTTGCGGTCCAGAGCCAGATTTCAGCATAGGCTCTGTGGATGGTTCAACTTGCACACCATCAGCTGCCAGGCTCCTTAGAACCCAGAGAGCCCTTGCCAGCACCCACAGCAGCGTAAAAGTGTGCCATGCAGATGCATCCGCCACCTGCTGTCCAGGGCCAGATTGGGGCAGGCCCTGCTCAGCACAGGCTCTGTGGACAGTTTAAATTACAGACAATCACCTACTATGATTGGTGCATGCAGCCAGGCTCCTCTCACATTGACAGCAGCTTGAGAGCATGCTGTGCAGATGCATCCGCCACCTGCTGTCCAGGGCCAGATTGGGGCAGGCTCTGCTTGGCACAGGCTTTGTAGACAGTTAAAATTGCACACTGTCAGCTGCTATAGTCGGTGCATGCAGCCAGTATCCTCCTGCATCAACCACAGCTTGAATATGTGCTGTGCGGATGCATCCGCCCCCTGCGGTCCAGAGCCAGATTTCAGCACAGGCCCTGCAGACTCTTTGGCCTGGGGTCGCCCTCTGCATCAGAGCTCTGCAGATCCAGCCCAATCATCTGCATGCAGGCTCTAAAAACATCTGCTGATCCATCCGCATCTCATTTTACTGGTGATGCCCTTGATGGCATCATTTTGGTGCATTGCAGATGGTCCTTGAACATCCGCACAGGGATTTGATGGGTCCTGCGGATCCATCTGCACTCAAAATAATCTTTGCAGGCCCTGCTTCTTCTATGTGAATGGCCTGAAGAGCCTCTGAAACATTGTTCATCTGGTGCACAAATGGATCTGCACATTGGAATGGGGGCTGTGGCTCTGTCCCACAAGCCAATCTTATGCAGCATATATCTACTGACATTTTAGCCAGTGCACCGAGCTCCAGAGGCTCTGGGGACATCCAGAGCACACAAGGAAATGAACTGCTGATGCATCTTCAGCCAAATTGGCCAGCTAAATATGTGGCTGCTGCCCAGACAGCCCAAATACATTACATCACTTGAATGAATAATGCTATTGACCAATACAATTCATTACACAATTTCTGGAAGGGATATTGCATGGAATTTGATATGTAAGCAAGCCAAACAGTGATTCTCCTATCTGCGGATGCTATTTCAACCATCCGCAGAAGCATCTGCAGCAGCTAGTGACATGGTTGCGGATGTGTCACATGACCCTCCGCAGTCTCTTTGTGGGACATATCTGCTCAATATAGCCTCAATGGATGTCCTCTGTCTCTGCAGCATGTATCTAAGATGTCTTTTTTGCTACCTGCATAGTTCTATCAACAATAGGAAATTTATCTGTCCTGCACAGGATTTTAAATTCTTTGCACCATAATTGTTGCTCATATACAGGTCGGATAAGCTCAGCTGTCCCACTAGGGAATCGGGACTTGTCAGAGACAAGCTATAAGCCAGCAGACACTGAACCTGGAAAGAACCTATCTGTACAATATAAAAAAAGCGAATTGAACATGATTCATATTTCAAGCTTTACACATTCATACATGTCTTGCAATTCAAGGGCCAAGACTTTAAGACACAGCATTCAATGTTTTGAGCTCAAAAAAGTCTCTTAGATCAAAAATATTTTCGATTTTGGTCAATGAGCAGGTTGAGCTCAGTACTACCATAGGAAACTGTGTTCAGGTCATGGCACTTTTCTGCATGACAAAAATATTTTCCTCAGTGAGCTGAATTGAGTTTATATTCGAGATGGGGCATATCTAAATAGCATCTGAACAAATTCTGAGCAGGATCGCAGCATCATAGCTTTCTTCAGTGCAAGTTTGAATGATCCGCAGATGCATCCACAAGATCAACATTTCAAAATTGTGTCCCTGTGAAGGCTATGATGCTGCGATCCTGCTCAGAATTTGTTCAGATGCTATTTAGATATGCCCCATCTCGAATATAAACTCAATTCAGCTCACTGAGGAAAATATTTTTGTCATGCAGAAAAGTGCCATGACCTGAACACAGTTTCCTATGGTAGTACTGAGCTCAACCTGCTCATTGACCAAAATCGAAAATATTTTTGATCTAAGAGACTTTTTTGAGCTCAAAACATTGAATGCTGTGTCTTAAAGTCTTGGCCCTTGAATTGCAAGACATGTATGAATGTGTAAAGCTTGAAATATGAATCATGTTCAATTCGCTTTTTTTATATTGTACAGATAGGTTCTTTCCAGGTTCAGTGTCTGCTGGCTTATAGCTTGTCTCTGACAAGTCCCGATTCCCTAGTGGGACAGCTGAGCTTATCCGACCTGTATATGAGCAACAATTATGGTGCAAAGAATTTAAAATCCTGTGCAGGACAGATAAATTTCCTATTGTTGATAGAACTATGCAGGTAGCAAAAAAGACATCTTAGATACATGCTGCAGAGACAGAGGACATCCATTGAGGCTATATTGAGCAGATATGTCCCACAAAGAGACTGCGGAGGGTCATGTGACACATCCGCAACCATGTCACTAGCTGCTGCAGATGCTTCTGCGGATGGTTGAAATAGCATCCGCAGATAGGAGAATCACTGTTTGGCTTGCTTACATATCAAATTCCATGCAATATCCCTTCCAGAAATTGTGTAATGAATTGTATTGGTCAATAGCATTATTCATTCAAGTGATGTAATGTATTTGGGCTGTCTGGGCAGCAGCCACATATTTAGCTGGCCAATTTGGCTGAAGATGCATCAGCAGTTCATTTCCTTGTGTGCTCTGGATGTCCCCAGAGCCTCTGGAGCTCGGTGCACTGGCTAAAATGTCAGTAGATATATGCTGCATAAGATTGGCTTGTGGGACAGAGCCACAGCCCCCATTCCAATGTGCAGATCCATTTGTGCACCAGATGAACAATGTTTCAGAGGCTCTTCAGGCCATTCACATAGAAGAAGCAGGGCCTGCAAAGATTATTTTGAGTGCAGATGGATCCGCAGGACCCATCAAATCCCTGTGCGGATGTTCAAGGACCATCTGCAATGCACCAAAATGATGCCATCAAGGGCATCACCAGTAAAATGAGATGCGGATGGATCAGCAGATGTTTTTAGAGCCTGCATGCAGATGATTGGGCTGGATCTGCAGAGCTCTGATGCAGAGGGCGACCCCAGGCCAAAGAGTCTGCAGGGCCTGTGCTGAAATCTGGCTCTGGACCGCAGGGGGCGGATGCATCCGCACAGCACATATTCAAGCTGTGGTTGATGCAGGAGGATACTGGCTGCATGCACCGACTATAGCAGCTGACAGTGTGCAATTTTAACTGTCTACAAAGCCTGTGCCAAGCAGAGCCTGCCCCAATCTGGCCCTGGACAGCAGGTGGCGGATGCATCTGCACAGCATGCTCTCAAGCTGCTGTCAATGTGAGAGGAGCCTGGCTGCATGCACCAATCATAGTAGGTGATTGTCTGTAATTTAAACTGTCCACAGAGCCTGTGCTGAGCAGGGCCTGCCCCAATCTGGCCCTGGACAGCAGGTGGCGGATGCATCTGCATGGCACACTTTTACGCTGCTGTGGGTGCTGGCAAGGGCTCTCTGGGTTCTAAGGAGCCTGGCAGCTGATGGTGTGCAAGTTGAACCATCCACAGAGCCTATGCTGAAATCTGGCTCTGGACCGCAAGGGGCGGATGCATCTGCACAGCATGCTGTCAATGCAGGAGGATCCTGGCTGCATGCACTGATCATGGCAGGCGAAGCTGTGCAAGTGGAATTGTCTGCAGAGCCTGTACTGAACAGGGCCTGCCCCAATCTGGCCCTGGACAGCAGGTGGCGGATGCATCCGCATGGCGCACGTTTCAGCTGCTGTGGGTGCTGGAGAGGCCTACCTGGGTTCTAAGGAACCTGGCAGCATCTGAGAAGCTTGCGTTCTATGTTTATCCTACGCATTAAGGTTCTGAGCAACCAATTTAGCAATCCAGAAACAATGCAGAGCATCCGCACAGCCCAAGCACTGAATTGGCCCAACTAACACTCTTTGTTTGCTGCACATAGAGGTCTTTGAAGCAGCTATAATCATTTGGGAGTCAAAAGCACTTGCATACTTTGGCTACAGAAGGCTCAAGTCCACAGTGAAGCAATATATACAGGCTAGAACTGAAAAAATAAAAGAGCAAGAAATGCGGAGGGTTCCGCACTGGAGAACAGTCACATGACATGGTCCGTGGATGGCCTGCATGATGGCATCACAACGATCACGGGGAGAGCCAGGAGCGGATGGATCCGCAGCTGGTTACAGGGCTTGTTGCGGATGCTTGGCACCCATTTGCGGAGGTTTTGGTGCGGAGGATGGCCAAAAGTGCGGAGGGTACCCCCCCTGTTAGGTACCCAAATCAGTCGAATTTTGACCCCTAACAGGGGGGGGTACCCTCCGCGGCGGATGTTCCTTAGGTGCTCCTCAGGTGCATAGAGCGGCAGTATATATGTTAATTCGAGATTGAGCATGAGGTAGCTGTGCCCACACGCAAAAATGAGATGTTGCTGAAGGGGTGGTTTATGGCCTCCACAACCTCCCAGGGGCAGAAAAAAAGGTGTTGGGTAGCCCACAGGCCCTTGAATTCTGCTACAATAGATCAATTTGATGCTTATGCTTTGTCGAAACAACAGCCCAGCATGTAAATTGGATGCTGGAGCAGTGGCAGAACAAGCCTCCACCGCCTCCAGGGCTGGGGACCAAAAGCGGTTATTGTAGATTCAGCCACATAAACCATATTTCTGATGTTGTTTGTCCTAGTCAGAATTTCTGGGTATTCCAGAGAGACAGGTGGCTACATAGATCAGATGCTAGCACTAATAGCAGAACCGGCCTCCATGGCCTCCACAGCCAGTGACCAAAAGTGGTTTTTTGGGTTCAGCCACATAAACCATGTCCATGATGTTGAAGGTCTTCATTATAATTATGAGGGTCCTTTAGTTAAATGTCTCACTACATGAATCAGATGCTGGAGCAAATGGCAGAACTGGCCTCCGCTGCCTCCACAGGTTATCACTTGAAGAGTCTGAATGAGATGACAATGTAAGAGATATATATTCTCCTGGCTGACCGCATTCTGTCATTTCCACCTCTACATGCTAGTTTAATTGCTGCAGAATGTTAAAATTAGAGGATGGGAGACCCTGGAGGCACTGGAGGCACATGCAAGATCCAATCAATGTCATCAATATCATCAGTGCCATCAATAGCATCAAGAGCATCACCGATCATTGGTAGATTGATCAACCAATCAGATGATGAATAAACATCGAACATCTAGTATGTTCATTCCTGAGAGACACAGACTACATGTATGCTCATACTGAAAGTGGATTAGTGGTCCCAGGACATGCCCCAATGACATATTGCATGCTTGTCTCGGGGACATATGATTAAAAATCGGAGTTGGCAAATGAGCTGAAAGTCAACTGAAGATGAGTGGTACAGTGGAGTACTTTCAGCTCATTTGCCAACTCCGATTTTTAATCATATGTCCCCGAGACAAGCATGCAATATGTCATTGGGGCATGTCCTGGGACCACTAATCCACTTTCAGTATGAGCATACATGTAGTCTGTGTCTCTCAGGAATGAACATACTAGATGTTCGATGTTTATTCATCATCTGATTGGTTGATCAATCTACCAATGATCGGTGATGCTCTTGATGCTATTGATGGCACTGATGATATTGATGACATTGATTGGATCTTGCATGTGCCTCCAGTGCCTCCAGGGTCTCCCATCCTCTAATTTTAACATTCTGCAGCAATTAAACTAGCATGTAGAGGTGGAAATGACAGAATGCGGTCAGCCAGGAGAATATATATCTCTTACATTGTCATCTCATTCAGACTCTTCAAGTGATAACCTGTGGAGGCAGCGGAGGCCAGTTCTGCCATTTGCTCCAGCATCTGATTCATGTAGTGAGACATTTAACTAAAGGACCCTCATAATTATAATGAAGACCTTCAACATCATGGACATGGTTTATGTGGCTGAACCCAAAAAACCACTTTTGGTCACTGGCTGTGGAGGCCATGGAGGCCGGTTCTGCTATTAGTGCTAGCATCTGATCTATGTAGCCACCTGTCTCTCTGGAATACCCAGAAATTCTGACTAGGACAAACAACATCAGAAATATGGTTTATGTGGCTGAATCTACAATAACCGCTTTTGGTCCCCAGCCCTGGAGGCGGTGGAGGCTTGTTCTGCCACTGCTCCAGCATCCAATTTACATGCTGGGCTGTTGTTTCGACAAAGCATAAGCATCAAATTGATCTATTGTAGCAGAATTCAAGGGCCTGTGGGCTACCCAACACCTTTTTTTCTGCCCCTGGGAGGTTGTGGAGGCCATAAACCACCCCTTCAGCAACATCTCATTTTTGCGTGTGGGCACAGCTACCTCATGCTCAATCTCGAATTAACATATATACTGCCGCTCTATGCACCTGAGGAGTGCTCATGTGCTCAAATCCCGAATTTTGTGCGCCCAGTGGTCTACCATTTGCAAGCAAGAAATACAAGCTTTTGTGAGCTAAGACATTGTCTGAGGCTTTATACTGACTACTACAGCATATATAAACACTCGGGTCAATGCCTAGCCTACCATGCTGGCTGTGGATGAATGGCTGGGCAGAGTACCAATTAGGAAGGCGCCTCCAGGATGGCCTCCGATCAGGGGGGGTAGGGGGTGGTTTGATGGCCTCCGGAGGGGGCCTCGAAGCCATTTTACGTAATAATTGGAGGTCCCTGGGGTGGAGACGAGGTGATCGGGCGCGTTGGGAAGAAGCATAGACAACTGTTTTATGCCAAGAGAGGAATGCGGGAGCAGGCCATTGATTTCACCAACGGACGAGGATGGTCGGCTGCAGATAGTCGCGGATTTGCAGGTGCGTGCGTCTCTCCGGTGTGTGAGGGAACTAAATGACTGCTTGAATGCAAGCTACATATAACGCTCAATTACTACCTGCTTTACTGAGTTTCCATACGCATTGAGAGCAGTACACTACTATGGGGGTCCATTAAGATCAAAGCCACATTCGAGAGGCTAGCGAAAGCAGGCATCAGAGACCCTCTCCCACTGAGTGAAAGACAGTGCGGCGCACTTTTCACCTTTTCGGATAGTTTCGGCTCAATGAACGCTCTGGCTTGCGACCAGATATCCCTACCTCCTCTGCCTCCGACCTCCCAGTCGCCTAACTTGTCCTCGCAGATGACCATGAACCCCTCCCTGATGTCAACAGCCTTACGCCTGCCGGACCAGACGACGCGCATCCCTCGGAGCAAGCGACAATGAGCCAGCGCTCCTCGGAGGACACAGGGACGAAACCAGTCCCGAAATGAGAAATGCGTCAGCGCCGGTGCGTCGACGGTCCCCGCGTTGAGGCACCATGGGTCGAGTCCCGCTGCGATGGCGTAGATGGGTGGGGATGCGGAACGCAGGGTGCGAGAAGTTGATGTGCAGTAAACCACCAAAGTGGCGGGTGGGTAGTGTCTAATGACAAGCGCGTGAGCGGCATGCGTTCCGTGCAGGGGAGGTCAGGGGAAGGTCCCGGGATGGAGATCTACAGTGCGAGGTTGGTAGCATTGTCACAGGAACCAATCAGCGCGTGAAGTATGCCTGAAGGAAGAGGGCCGCTGAGGTTCAGACCGTGTACGGGCCGAAGGGGAAAACGAGGTGTCCGACAGTCGATGGGCGACAGTCGATGGGTGTTGTCCAATTGTTAAGCGGTCGCACGGAACGTTGTATGACCAGGTGGTCTCAAAGGAAGTTCCCTGGCCTTGGATCAGGTGCCGGAGGAAGCACAGCACCTGGGTCAAGTCTGGGTGCCAGATATGCGCTCTTTGCCCAACGTAAGACGGGGTGTCGGCGCCTTGCGTTCCGGAGCGACCAGTGTGGAGACACACCTCTCCCACTCAGAAGATAGTCTAGGTGGTCAATAAAGTGTTATGAATGGCATCCTAAGATGTTCTCGCGTGTCTCCATTGTCCTCGCTGGGGTATATGACTCAAGTATCAAGACGGCAAGTAGCTCTGCGGAGCACAGCAACGGAGTGCTGTATGATTCGCAACAGCACGGATATGCGAAAACATAGCCTTTAAGTGAACGCAGACGGGTGCATCGCGATCGCAGGGTGCAAGATGTGCATGAGTGGTCGGAGCAGGAGATTTCGAGGATAAGTCCGATGATTTCCCGGATCGATCCGATCATCAACTTTCAGACCACGTGAGCGATTGTTGAAGTTGAGTTTCAACTTCCGACTCCGAAATTTAAAATGGCGAATGCGATTAAATTTTGCGCGATATACTAGAATAATCAAGAGAATGAGAGGGAAATTACTCAGATGTCACTGCGAGGTGGGCTCCAGTTGATTCGGACTGAATCTCAAGCGCGACAGCAGGACAGTGGCCAATTCAGGTCCAACATCAGATACCTTGAACATCGTCTGGGAGCTCGTAGGTCTTTCTTGCGGTCTCGAAAGATCCAAAGAGCCAGTTTCGGGCTTATGGTCAAACGTTCCCCATGGCTTTCCCATTTGCCGGTGAGAATAGACGTGAAAGCGGTGACGTCTGAGCTGAGTATTGCCCATCAATATCGATTTTCTGGACGTGTCGAGTAGACTAACCTCTTTTTCGTTTCCGTGATCAACTAGCAAAGCATAGTCTCGCACATTGACCGTACCAGTGACTAATGAACCAGATTTGAGTTACACCACACTCGCATGATGAAAGTGGCCGGCCTACCCATAATTAACTCGTCCTTTCCGAGCACCTCATCCTTGAAAGCCGCCAAAATAGTATTGGCATGCGCTCTGAACCACCGCTTGGGCGACTCCAGCGAGTCAAAATAATGGTACACCGCCTTCTCCGCAATCAGATGCGCCGTCTCGCCGTACGAGGAGATGTGGTGAGTGTGCTTGTATTTGTCCGCGGAGTTGCTCGTGAGCTTGGTCAGGAATCTCTTTCCCTTCGCTTTGATGGTCGCGCTCTCCTCGCTCTGCTCCTCCGCAATGATGCGTACCGACGACAGCGCGGGGATAGCCAGTCCTCGTAGTTTGCTTCCGGCAGATGTGGTGTCGGGAAAACGCGAATTGAAGAGAGTTCGGAACTCGCCGGTCGGCCTCGAGAGGTATCCGACGGCTCCCATTTCTACCAAGCTGGGGGACCACAATGGAAGCGAGGCTGTAATCTCGTCAGTCAAGACAGATCGACCTTGATTAGACTTTTGGTGCTTACGGCTCAAGTGATGGAACGCATGTGATAATGAGATGCGGTAACAGATCTCGGTCTCTGCTGGCGATTTTCCCGATGATGTAGATAAATCGATCGCCGAGTCAGTGACGGGGAGGTCTGCAGAATGAGTAAAGGTGCCAAGATCTTCCCTGTCGTAATTTGAGCATGAGGCCATCGTCGTGGTTGAAACAGCAGAGCTGTAGTCGGAAAGGGCTTCGAGATGATCAGATATCAAAACGCTGTTCTGTGACGGAATCTAGATCTCACATGAGGAAGACGAGGGAGAGACGACTCTCCATGTCGCTCCTTGAACAGTAGGCGACCGAAGAAGCGGATGCGCTCGAGACAGCACCGATCTTCCCAATAATTCCTGTTTCAGCGCGTCCAGTGTTGCCTCCATGAAATGCCGGTGCAGCAGTCGTCTCGCTGGAACTCCATCCAGGGGCCAGCTCAGCGCCCGAATCCGCGGAGACGGAGAAACCTCAGACGCAACGATTCTTGGATGCCCGACGTGCGACTGGAACAGCTGGACCGCCTGATCCTCCTGCTGCTTGAGCCGCTCCAGCTGATTCAACAGCAGCGTGATTGCAGTCGGGATCTCATCCACTGCGATCTGCAAAAGCATGGTCACAGGCAGGTTGCTGGCCTGGAGGGCAGACTGCATCTCCTCCGCCAGCTCTTCGTTGTCCCGGGCGATGTCAAGGCGGTTTTGTCCGTTGTGAATGGCTTGCAGTCGTTGGCTCAGATCCGAAGCTGCGTCGCCACCTCCGAGAAGCATTGGCTGTGCCGGTCCCGACGGAAATCCGGGAAACGAGTGGAGAGAGTCCAAATCACCAAGGTCGTGATCGGGGACCGTTGGGAAATGCGGAGCGGAATGCGAGGAGGGCATGACAACAGGAGCTGGTCTTCCGCCGTCGGTGATTCTCAACACTGCGTCGAGAATGCGAATGTCAATGTCAGTCTGGGGACTGTCAGAGCTGCTGCGACCAAGTGGCGTAAATTATGTAAAGGTCACCTGGAATAAATTGACGCAGTCCCGGATATCTTGGTCGTGTCTGTCCAATTGGTCCTTGACATCGTCTTTGTTCAAAATCTTGGTCAAGAAAGAAAGTTCCGTTTGCTGTTTCACGAAACGTTCGAATCGCTGGAAACGTCTGATCGAGAGACAAATCAATCGGACTGAGAGCGTCACACAGCCTTTGATGTGACGCACTCTTGGAGTTCCCGCAAAGGTTCGTCCAGCTCCTTCTGCGTGATGGAGCTCGAACGCGAAACGATCTTGTTGATAGCCATCAGCACCGTTGCACACCTTTCCGTGATTCGAAGGCATCGGCATCGATTCGTCTATTCAGATTCCCAAGTCAATTCACCACGGCACTGAAAGCTGTTGTGCTGCTCCACCTGAATCAGCTGGCACGAGTCCCAGATGCTCTGCAAGACCTTCCCGACGACGGACATCCCGGGAACGGGTGCCAAAGACACAGCTTCAATCGCAAGTGGAACAGCTATGGTACCGATCGACGCGAGAGCTTGTATAACCCTCTGCACGTCGACGTGAGAACCTGAGTGGGTAGATGGAGCAATGACCGGAAGACGCACAACTCTGGTACGCTCGAGGTCCGGGTCCACCTCGGGTACAGTGTGTTTGTGAAGAGCATTGTGGACCTTCTCAAGCCACGAGGTGACTGGTGTTGAAGCAATGCGACCTTGGGAGCTTGCCTCCGAGGAGGCGATGGACAACGACGACATTTGCGACTTGAACGAAGAAGGCTCGGATGTCGAAAGATACATCGGATTCTCGCCACCGTCGCTAGCCCTCGTTGGGGCTGGTATAGGTATAGGGATTGACATGGACTTGGGCTGGGACATGGCAAAGGGGGTGAGAGAGAGCAACGCATTTGTAGGGAGCACGGGTGCGGTGCATCACTGGCGGATCTGCAAAATGACTAGCCTGCCGTTGCTACCGAGGGTGAGATGGCACCAAGATTTTCCCGCCTTGATTGGCCAGTAGGAAAATGCCACAGCACGAGAGGATCAAGGTATGGAAGGTGTTCACAATGGGAAAAGTGATGACATCAAGCGGTGATAAGATAAAATTGGATCAGGAAAGATCGCCGCTGGCCAATTGTCACAGCAGCGCAGGATCATCGAAAACCGTATGATCTGTACCAGTGGCGCTGTGATTGACCTGGCCTAAGAATCTCTCAACCACTAAAATGGGATCATGCTCTGCTCTGCTCTCTCCGTGCAAGTGTCCCGGCTCTACCTCGCTACTGGAAGAAACGCGAGGCTGACTCAGTGTCCCGGTGTGAGCAGCCTGATTAGGACAATTTGAACATTAGAAGATTCTCATGGCTCGATGACTATAAAGGCCCGATCTCTTCAGGGGCACTTTGCTACCCCAGCACTAAGCTATTCCAAGAAAACGTGCTCTTCGTCCAATGACTACATCGAATTTGGACAGAAAGTATCTGCTGAAGTGCTTTCCGGAGCAGGAAGCAGTCAGTGGGGATCCTAACGCAGGGAATGGTCCGTGCCAGTTTATTCCCTCTCACCTTCGTGAGAACCGCGTGGACCTCACAACTAGATTTACATTCAACTATGATCTATTCAAGCGTGCTATCAACGATCACCCTCATTGGCTCGAAATGCAGATGCGTGAGCCAATCTTTACAGAGTTTGACAATCAGGGGAGAGCGAAAGGGCAATGAGATGAGGCAGTTTCAGATAGGCATGGTGCAAAAATCAAACAAGCAAGTATTCAGATTGTGTCGAGAGGAGCAAGCACTCGATACCATACGAGCCACTATTTACCTTGAAGCTGAAAGTTCTCCAGTTCCTACCGCTTGAAACAGAGTTTTGTGCTCATGCTATCAGCCCCGCGCTGTGGAGCACCTTGGGCATCAGCATAACATCTTTCCCGTGATGCATCGCTTTGGACGAGTGGGGATAGAGATTCTGTAAACATCGCTCGCCCACTTTGATCATTGCAACGGCGTGTGACGAGCTGACACTGGAATATCCGTCGCGATTGCAGCTTCGAGTATTGCGAAGAGGTCCGTGGGCAAGACGTCGATGGTTTCTTGCTTCTAGTGGATTCAGACCTTCGTGCGATGGTGAATGTATGCAAGCGCTGCCATGCGACGAGTCAACGCCGGAACAAGAAAGTCGGGCGCGAACTGACCTGGGCCAAATGTCAAGCATTCTATGCTGCCTTGATATCGACGAAGAAGTGCGTTTCTGGCCGACAAACATCAGCACAGCGTTGCCAACGTCGCGAGTCTACTTCACCTGGAACTTGACGAAGGCGTTTGCGCTCAAGGAATTGCTCGGCCCTCGTCCAAAAGTCGACACCTCCAGCGAGCCCCTCAAGCCAATCGCCGGTGAAGTTCCCACAGTACACCAAACACACGCGCGCATCTAAAGACACGTCCTCCCGCTCTTGGAACTTGCAGTGGTAGTCCTCCCAGGCGTTGTAGATGACGACGAGCACGCGGAGATTGGGGCATCGCTCGAATGTGGCGTCCAACGTCTCCGGAAAAAAGTCGTCATTGAACGCGAGGTTCGTCAGGGCAGGCAGCGCTGCGAAAACCGGCCACGTCGCGTGCGATATGTGCCCGAACAGGTCGAGGTGCGTGATGCGCCGGAATGCTGTAAGTAGCTCTACCGTGGGAGGCAGGTATGTCTCCCCATCCGAGGCATCGATGAACAAAGTCTGCATATTGACCGACAGACGCTCCAGGTTCTCAAGGCGCCGGACCTGGAGCCAGGTGGCGAGAGACGTGCCGCCGGACCACAGGCACAAATCTTTCACGTTGCTGCACGCTTGCAGAAGACGGGCCAGCACGTCTTCTTCCATCGAGGTCGATAGAGCGAGGTGGTGTATGTGCCTGCGCAGGAAGTCCGGTGGTTTCGCACTGAGGATGCCCAACATGGTGTCCAGCGAAACGGTTGCGCGTATATGCTCGGCGGTGGAATCTTCAACGAGGAACTTTCCGTAGAGGAGGGGCTCCAACCTAGAGTAAAGCTGAATGTTTGC